CCCTAAGCGTGGTTCCATTGTTTTGATTTTTGAAATGCCAGCAGTGAGAGATTAATTCTCAGGACTCTGAAGGAGCTTCTATTTTTGAAATCCCAGGGGTTAAATCATCTTTGCCTTTTTATTTTGGAAGCAGCTGGTTCGTGATCTGAATATTTGTTTTGAGAATCATAGTCGGCTGAAACCGCCATTCTCTTTCATTTATGCCAATTTCAATCACACAAAACCTCTTCAGCCACCATGGAACTGAGCTATTGGCCTATTGCTTTGCTTTGTCTAAATGATCGACCCATCTGGAAGTAAGACATCGCTGCTGCTTCTGTGCTTCTTATTAATTAGCTAAACAGGCGAGTGTTTCTGTACAAAAAAAATTATGGTGTAAAATTATTGCTTACAAGATGTTCAATGAAATATCTATGAGCTCAAATCATGTCAGATATTGGTTAGAAACCCGACGGCATTAATATCTGTTAGAATAAAGATCAGATTAGTGTAAATCAATCACCTTTGTTTATTCAAATTCTTCATGCTCTCACGGTGACTTTCAATTATTGGAAAATGGTTTTGTAGGTATGTATGTACGGCTTTCCTATCTTTGCCATTTTCCAGTAGTTTGTTTTTTTCTAATTCACATGTTTTATAGTGCAACTCACCTACCCATGTAGTTCGTTCTTTGGATAATTTTTGGAGTATAGGCGGTTCATTTGCAACATATTCACTAAAAGATCTAAAGAGATAATAAATCCAATGTAAGACAAATGTTCAGCACTACCATGACACACGATGGACCATTCTTTTTTTATACAAAGAGCTCGTACCAAAATTCCCAACTCTGATATAGTTCATGTTACGAAGACCAGTTTTAAAGGGTAACAACAAAGCTTTGGCAGAAAATGGAGAAGATGGGATTGCTATGTTGATGCAAAAAATGGAGAAGATGGGATTGCTATGTTGATTCTGTATGCTAACTAAAAAGTTCATGTTTTCTACAGAATTTGCACATGTGCTTTCCCGATTTTGCACCTGTAGCTAGGCATGCAGGAATCAGGATTTATTTTATCCAAAGGAGATGAGGTAACTGATGCAATGTTTTTGTGCTGTCTCGATCGATTGCATTGCTTATTTACATGAATAACATGATGAGTAATGTAATTCCAATTTTATCATGATGAAGCTATTACCTCAGGCTTGATACATTCTCTCTAAAGTTGGAACTACTATCTTCTTGCTTGCCCAGCATATCCTGAGACTGATGCTTTCCTCAATACCAGTCAGACTTGCTTAGGCTTTTAATTTCCTAATGTTAAATTTACCTAACATATGGTGGCAGTTACTCGTCCTCAGATCAAGCAGAAATGTTCAGTTGTGACTTTTCTAATTATTCACTTACTCCATTTTCCATGCTGCTCCCTCTCTCTTAGAATCTTACACATACACCACATCCAATTATTCTCTTACTCCATTTTCCATGCTGCTCCCTCTCTTAGAATCTTACACTTACACCACATCCAATTATTACTAATGTCAAAGCTGCAAAATCAACACAAATACTTTTTATGGTGCAATTTCAATCTTGTAAATTTCATACATGCTGTTTAAAATTGGTACAAATGTTCTCAAGTTAGCTCACGGCTTTCATTTTTCTTTTTGTGCAGAGCTTTGGAAAGGAGGAGAAGAAACAACTTACCCAAGATAGTGGGAAATTGCAGCTTGTGGCATGATTTGATGAAATTAGAAATTAGTGAGCCAAAACAAAGCAAAAAACTAGAAATTGGATTCTATATTATCATCATCATCTTTCTTTACTGTTTGATCCTACAAGTCTTGATTTAACAATAGTTATGTAACCCTTTGGTTTTGGGTTGTTGAATTCTGCATTTCTGAGATGGGGAGGCTCTATTATTTGTATGTTGATTTTGACCAGTATTTGTTTACCATACCCATTGCGTTGAAAATATTAAAGCTCCCGTAGCAACACATGGGCATCTGGTAGTAGAGACATAACTCTATGTTTCAAAAGAAACTCTATGGTAGAAGCAAAGATTCTATCCAGTAATATAACACATTCCACTCTTCGAAACAGCAGGCTAACTGACAACATATAGAGTGCAGATTTGGTGCCCAAGGGGCTGGCGCCCTCGTTGGCTAAATAAACCATCACAAAAATCATGTTTCATGTATGTAGTACACATAAAGTTAAGTATAGCTGCACCAATTCAGTTTGAAATTCATCCTAGATGCCAAGAAACAAAATAGACAAGCAACCAACCTGGCACTGCTCATCATGTGCTGACAGTGACACTTCTGTTTTTTTAATTCAGCATCAAAGATGAATTTCAATCTGAATTGTTGTGGATACACTTTAGATGTACTACATACATGATTCTTGTGATGACTTCTGAAACATTGTAACATGGTATTTTAGTCCTTTAGCTAACGAGGGCGCTAGCCCCCCTGAGCGCCATATGATTTTTCCAACATATATATGTTCTAGCTGTGAAAAAGGAAAGGCAGATTAAGTGGCGGTTTCTTAGAGATCCTTAGTTGCAAAAAAATGGGACACCTTTTTTTTTAAGAAAGACCACCTTGCCTGGCTTAGCTAGCACCGTTCTCAGACTTTCAGAGTTCTAAAAGCACTCATTATTACTAGCGTGCAAAGCACAAGAATGAAAAGCAGCGTGCAAATAGGTACGTACTTCGGACATAAATTCTGTGTTTCAAAATAAAAGGTGTGGCCGAAGGAAAAATTGAAGTACTAGAATATGTTGAACTCATTGGATTAGCAAGCTAGAGTGGCAACAATATATATGTGTTCTATTTGCAAAAAGAAAATGCAGATCATATTTCAATTTTTAGTCGAAAAAAAGGAGAGACAGAATTCTACAACCCATGAACTGAATGAAATAATAAAAGTATATATGCAATATACTCTTGTTTCTTAATTGGGTGTATTAAGAATACCCAATTAAGCAAATCATCCATCGATTGGGTATATATTCATTTCGATCAAGAGGACATAAATAATGAACCAACAAAACAACAGAGGAAGACAAGCGTTGCACAGGGAAGGCAAGTACTTGTGTGACAATAGCTAAATCACTAGTGAGTGAGTTTGCAAAGTACTAGAATGGAAGGCAGTTGAGAAAATGGGACCTAACACAAGACAATGGCAGTATTCAGACATACACACTGCGTTTCAAAAGAAATTAAGGGTAGAAGCAAAGATCCGAATACTAGAATACATTCTGCTAATCAGATCAGCAAGCCAGAGTGGTGAAAGCATCTATATGTTTTAGTTCAAAAAAAAAGGCAGATTAAGTGTCGACTTGTTAGAGACCCTTGGTTGCAAAAAATAAGAGACATAACCCCTTTTTAAGAAAAAAGGTCACCTTGCCTGGCCAGCACCATTCTCAGACTTTCAGAGTTCTAAAAGCAGGCATCACTAGGGTATCTCATGGTCATGGGAGATAAACAGGACAATATTTTACAAAAGTATTCTACAAAAGCCCGTGAGGATATAATAACATTGATCCAATTGAATAATTCATCCATCAATTGGCCGGAAATATATTATTTTTTCAATCAAAAGAGTATAAATAATGAACCAACAAAACAACAGAGGAATGTAGATGACACGAGTTGCGTGGGGCAACCAAAGTGACCATAGCTGAATCAGAGTGAATGAAATTGCAAAGCACGAGAATTAAAGGCAGTTGAGCAAATGTTGTACCCGCTTTACACATGATAATGGAGTATAGAGACATAAACTCTATGTTTCCAAAGAAACTCTAGGGTAGAAGCAAAGATTCTATCTAGTAATAGAATACATTTCACTCTTCGGATCAGAAAGCTAACTGACAACATGTATATGTTCTAGCTGTGAAAAAGGAAAGGCAGATTACGTGGCAATTTCTTAAAGATCCTTAGTTGCAAAAAATGGGACACCTTTTTTTATTTTAAGAAAGACCACCTTGCCTGGCTAGCACCATTCTCAGACTTTCAGAATTCTAAAAGCACTCATTACTAGTGTGCAAAACACAAGAATGAAAAGCAGCGTGCAAATAGGTACGTACTTCAGACATAAATTCTGTGTTCAGCAAGCCAGAGTGGCAACAATATATGGGCGTACCCAGTGCAAAGAGCTCCCGCTCTGTGCGGGGTCTGGAGAAGGGTGTCAGTGGCAAGCCTTACCCTCGCCTGTGCAATGCGAGGAGACCGCGACTCGAACCCGGGACCTTCCGGTCACAGGCGGGAACCAGAGTGGCAACAATATATATGTGTTCTATTTGCAAAAGGAAAATGCAGATCATATTTCGATAATGGCAACAATATATATGTGTTCTATTTGCAAAAGGGAAATGCAGATCATATTTCGATTTTTAAAAAAAAAAAGGAGAGACGGTTTTTTTTTTGTGTGTGTGTGTGTGTGTGTGGGGGGACTTCCTGCCTGGCACCATTCTCAGACTTCAGAGTTCTAAAAGCAGTCATCACTAGCGTTTCTCTCATGACAGATAAGCAGAACAATATTTCCTATAGCACAAGAGGAGATAATGATATTGATCCACTTGGAACAGAATTCTACAGCCCATGAGCTGAACGAAATGCAAAATAGCAATGCTGAAACTAATAAAGCATTGTGCAAATCAAGGAGAAGAGGTAAACAGAGGCATGCACACAAGAGTTCGACAATAGCCCAATAATGATACCATAGAACACAGCAAAAAATGCAGCGTGGCTAGTGGATACCATTCCAACACAAGATCCGATATATCTCAGACAAAAGCCTTCTCACCAGCAATTTGATATACCAATTGTAACAAACATATGCAATATCCCTCGTGCTGCCTCAGGTAGCCCAGTGCAGTGGCATTAGAAATCTACAGTGGGTCCCATGAAAATCCCTGGTTATTTGAATCACCTCAACTCAAAAGATCAAAAGAAAACGTAAACGCAGAGTCCGCGTATCAGCTCACCCCAACTCACAAAGCTTCACGGGCTACTTACTAATCGGCTTTTGCGGTGGCATTCTTGACGGCCATGCGAGCGCACGCCTCAAATCTCTTGACTGCTTCAGCACACTTGAGCGGGTCCTTTGCGTTGGTCTTGTAACACTCGAGGCATCCTGCCCTCTCCAGGGTGCAGGGCATGGGGTTCTGGTACGGCAGCTTAAACTCCTTGTCGTGCAGCTCCTTTGCTCTCTTGCTGAGCTCCTGGCGTGCCCCAGCCTCCTGCTTCTCCAGCTTCTCGAGAACCGCCTCGCTTTCTTTCAGTATGGAGCGGATGGCTTCCACCTCCGGCATTGTGGCCGGGGGTGGCGGGGGAGCAGGGGTCACGGGCAGAAACATTGGGGGAGGCTGCAGAGGCCACCCAGGAGCAGGAGCAGGGCTGGTCGTCTTGGGTTCGCTCGGGAATTCCAGGGGCTCTTCATGTGGCTGGACGGGCTTCTTCTTAGGCTTGGGCTTCCTGGCTTTCCGTTTCACCTTCTCATCATCGCGAGCAAGCTGGTCGATGAGCTTGGTGCTGATCTGGATTGTGTAGTCACCCATTGCAGCAGAGATGTGTCCTGCGCCAATAGCAAGCGTATCAATGGCCACATCCACCTTTCTAGAATGCTGATAATTGCGAGCAAGATGCGGATTGTTTAAAGGTAAAATGTGTGTTTTCACTGGATTTGTATACTCCGTTAGAAGCACATCAAATGCGCGATGGTACCCTTAGAAGTAAAAACATGCCAGATAATTTTTACAAAAATCGAATAGAAGCTAGCAGTAGGCATAATCCTACATGTGCACCACGTACAAACACTTGTAATTAGATCGGATCCGGATACGAATAGCTTAGGCTAGGGTTTGGGTGCTCGGCTTTGCACAGCAGGAACGGAAGAGAAGAGGTACCTGGTGGGTGCTCGTCGCCGAAGAAGACTCCGGACGACTTCCTGGCACCTGGCGGCGGCGACAGCCGGCCAGGCAGGCGGCGGCGGTCTGCACGAGAGAGAGACAGAGAAGGCGGACGCGGGAGGAAGGGGAAGCCGGAAGGGGACAGGGGAAAAGGAAAAAGAGGCACAGGCTGACGAAAAAATTATATTTTTACCATTATAACAATCATCCCTCGTCCGATTCTTATCACAATTACATATTTATCAGAGAAGAGAGATGAAATCTTACAAATTTGCCAAAAACAAGCGCTTTTTGTGTACGTGGCATGCCAGGTCACGATGCTTGTGTGGACGTGCATTGTGAAAAGACGAAGCTGCCCCTGCCCTGCTCCTCTCTCTCCCTCTCTAACAGCTGGGTCCCGTAGCTCCTCTCACCGCCATGTGGGCCCCACTCATCAGCTTCATCCCCCGCCTCTAGCTACTTCAGCTCCTCTCACTGACAGCGCCGCGTGCAAGTACACCAGCTGCTTCAGCTCGGCCGCGGTGTGGTGGCTGCTAGCGGACGACGGTGGACGGCGGATGTGTGCAGAGCTCCTCAAGGATCTTGGCCTCCACATTGGGGTGCTTGGTCAGGAGCCTGAAGAACCATGTCAAGCCGAGCTCGTCATGTCCCGGCTGGCTGTTGTGGAGCTTGCCGCGCTCAGGAGCTCGCTGCGGCCTGCGCATCCTCATGCCCGCGACCCCAAGCTTCCCCTACCTCGCTCTCCTTTCGTGCCGCCATGACCGGAGCTCCATTGTCACCATCGATCTCCCCAATCCAACCGTCTCTGCTACTCCCAACAGGCTCTACGAGTTCGCAGTAGCATGACGACTTCACCCCGCCACTCGTCGTTCGGCAACCCCCGCTCCATCGCCGTGAACCACCGTCGTCGCCTCCATTGCCGACCCGAGGTCGAGCTCGCTGATCTCAGCATACACAGCAACTCTCGCCACTCCGTCTCCTCCGTTGGTGCTGCAAGGACCCGCCGCGGCCACCTATCCACATCTCAACACCAATCCATGGCTGCAGTGGCGTCTTCCCCCTCGACCGAAGCACTCCGCCGGAGAGCCCCGCTTCTACCCGTGGCTGGCTGCCACCAGTCCCTCTCTGCTTCAAGAACTCCTCCATCGACTTCGCACGCGGTGCCTTATCATCGTCCTCGGCTGCTCAGCAGCCATGGATGGGGACGAAGTTGGATGTGCCTGGGTCCCATCCAGGTGCCGGAGGTGGGAGATGAAACTGACGGGTGGAGCCCACATGGCGGCGAGAGGAGCTGCAGGTCCCATCTGTCAGAGAGGAAGAGAGAGGAGCAGAGCAGGGGCAGCTTCGTCTTTTCGCAATGCACGTCCACGCTGGCACCGTGACCTGACACGCCACGTACGCAAAAACACTTGTTTTTGGCAAACTTGTAAGATTTTGTCTCTCTAAATATGTAATTGTCATCCTAGGAATGAGAATCTAACGAGTGATGATCGTTATAATGATAAAAATATAAATTTCCGGTAGGCCGAGGCTCCGGCGATGCTGTTGATCCCGTGGAAATTTACATGGGCCTTAATTACCCCGGCAGATTTGGTCATCCAAGCAAAGTTTCTAGGCCCGGTCATTCTTCAATCTTTTATTAACTCTCTGGTGATGGCTGACTCTCCTTTTGCCTTCTTAATAATAAGATGGGCACGACCAAATTTATATTAGCAAACCAAACTATGCCAGTGAAGCGAATAGTAACCAATTTTTATGGGATTGCCAATTTTTGGTCTTTCTTCTCAAGCCCATAAACCAAACATGTCCGTAGGTTCCAAATAAAATATCAAAATTACATTACACTCCTGAACACAAATCCAAAGAGGCATAGGGCGTGTTTTGGCTGGCTCCCTAGCTAGGCGTGTCCGGTTCCTTTGCTGGTCACAGTGTTGCCTAGCCCAGTAAAGATTGCAAGCAAGTTTGACTGCTTGGTTCCTTTGATATAGTGTCTCGGAACTTGTGCAGACAAGATTTCCTTCACCTAGTTGGGCAAGTTTTTCGTTGTTTGTGCCCACAGAGCAAGTCAAGGCTTTCGCCTCGCCTCCCTGAACAAGGTGGGCCTTGCCAGTGTGGGTGAGCCAATAGTACTCCCGCAATAGCAATGAAAATTTTGCTAGTGCAAACCCCGAGGCAAGCTCGCTAGGAAACCAAACGCTTCTTCTATCTCGATTTCTAGCCGAGCAAGAGTAAGGGAAAAATTGCTAGCGCAAATCCTGCTGGAGATCTCACATGAGAACTAAACACGCCCATAATGGCCATTGGCCAGTACGGTAATGTTGTGGTGCAGGCGTTCGGGTGGATGGACTCCGTCTCGCACCGTTCATTGCCTAAAAAAAAATTAGATCCCCAACTCCGCCTCGCACGCTCGCCGCAAAGCTCCGCTCCCCCCCACCGCCGCGAGTGGCGACCACCTCCGCTTCCTCCGCCCCGGGGCCCTCGCCCGCCTTTGCGACGCTAGGCTCCGCCACTAGAGTCACGCTTGCCCGCCCTCCCTTGCCCTCATCACTGGCGCCGGCGCCAGCGTCCTTCTCATTACCTCCTCCTGCGGTTGGAGGCAGCCATGGCGTACTTCGCGACGGCCTCAAGGCTCCTCGCGCCCTGGTGCCCGTAGCAGAAGAAGCTCGCGGCGGCCAAGCACATGGTGCTCTTCGCTCCGCCACCTCCTAGACCCGATCTACCCATCGAGGCGGTTATCGAGCTCCTCAACACGCCTGACATGGTGGTCGCCACCCACTAGAGTGTTGCACTTGACATGTTGCAATCGTTTGTTTCAAGTGTTTTAGATGTTTTAGATGTATGTTGCAAGTATTACATATGGATATTGCTAAAAGTAGATCGGGATGTTGTATATGTTGCAATGGTTGTACATGTATGTTGCAAGCTTTTGTTCTCAATATTTCATCTGTTTTCCAGACGTATGTTTTAAGTGTGTTTATTCGGATGTTGCATATTACAAGCGTTTTATCTGGATGTTGCATATGTTTTACAATGAGTTTTAAGTGTTTTTCTTATGTGTTTTTATAAGTGTTTCAGATGCATGTTTCATCTATCTTTAAACGTATGTTTCAAGTGTTGTATCTGGATATTTTAAAATAGATTGGGTGTTGTATCTCCCTCCTCCCTTTATACTGCTCGCCTCGATGTCTCCTTCTTCTCCTGACAGCCGGCTGGGCATTCACCGCTCTCTCCTCTGCTCCATGCCATGACGTTCAGGGCGGCACGAGTCCTGCGTGGACGCACGAAACGGCGCGAGCGCTCCGCCCATCAGGACGTCCAGGCAAGCCCGCTGGCCAGTAACGAGAGATCGGGAGAGAAATGAGGTGGCTTTTTGCAGCTTTGTTCGCATCGTCCGTCCCAAGTACGGAGTAGGAGTTAGCTCCACGGTGCTAGGTCCGTCAACCTCGGCACGTCATTCTGTGTACTGACGATGCCCGGTTGTTCCTGGTCGTTAGTGAGACCCTAACAGTGATTAAAATGCAATTAAGCAGCAATTACGGTTAGATTGGTTTCGTATCGTTCTTTGGTTACGTGAAGATGGCTTTGGTTTTTGTGTGAGAGAAAAAATCGGCTTAAAATTTACGATCGACAAGCCAAACGAATATGGAGAACGAGGGAAAGTTTAAGATCCAGCGATGCACTTTACTCTGAAAACAATCACAAAACACAAAAAATTGGCAAATTCGCTCTTCCAAATTTCATGATCACATCTCATCGAACTTGAGTTCCTCTATCATCATTCATCATCTCACCGGATTCCAACTAACGCCCTGTTCGCTTGGCTTATAAGCCGTACTTTTTAAGCCAACGAACAATATTTTTCTAACCACAAATCAGCCCACACAACCATGGCTTATCAGCCAAGCGAAGAGCATAAAACATTGATGCCCATCCAACTAGACTAGCTCCACCCAATCATATCTATCCCATCAAACAGCACAGCTTGAGGCCCCACCACATAGTCCTCGTCTTATTGTGTTGAGCTTGGCGTGTCCACGCCATGGGACTTTCTCCCGGCTTCGACGGCCTCCCTGTTTGTTTGTTTCATCAACATGACCACAAGATCTTAGCACAAGAACAGCATGCTAGCAAAACAAAAAGGCATCTTCTTTACAAACAAGGGAATGCTTCTAAGTTCTAACCTGAATGCGCTGACAAGCTCTTTGTTCTCCGGATCAAGCTGCACCCCCTCATAAAAGGCGTTGGCGGCGTCCTCAAACCTCTGCCAGGATCACCACAAACAGCAAATGAACCAGTCATCATCTAAAGACAAATCAGAAGCGGGTGAATTCTCAGTCACATCACAGTGCCTCGCGTACCTGTAACAGACGATGGGCCGCACCTTCCCTGTAGCAAGCTTTCGCCCAATCTGGTCTCAATGCCCGGCATGCTTTCGCATCCTCCAGGGCTCGTTCAGCTTGCCCTGCTCGCAGCCAGCAGAGGCTTCTGTTTGAGAGCACTGTTGCGTCAGTTGGGTCCAACTCTGTAGCCTGAAATGCAATTCCATACTAACATTAGTCTCTTGCGGCTAAACTAACAGCACTCTGGACATGAAGAATAACAGCTGGATCTCAGGTACGGTTAAAAGCACAATTCCAGAGTTCAATATTGCTGTGCTTTGTCTATGCGGAAAAAACATTCCATCTTAGTTACCTGCGTATAAGCATCCACTGCTACAAGGTAGTCCTTTCTTCTGAAGGCATCATCACCCCTTGATTTGGCTTCCAAGGATCTTTTCTTTGCCTCGGGTGACACCTGCGCAGCCAATTAACTAATGTCAGATTTCAATTTTCTGCTAACCTCAACAATTAAATCAAGTCTACCTCTATTTAAGATGATAGAGGCCTACCCCTGATTATGTCCTAATACAAGTATATGACTTGACTGTCATTTAATATAGTACAAGCCCGGACCGACACCAAAACTATGTAACAAGTGCATGACATACCTCAACAGTTTGTGTTCGGCCTGATTTCAGAGATGTCACTTCCTTCAATTGAGACTGCAAAGTTTGTTCAACAATTAGCAGACACGGAGAGTTTTTCTTTTTTTGGTTAAAGGTTTATGGATCCTATGACAATGCAAAATAGCTAAAATGTTGATTCAAGAGGCACCTTTTCCCCATACTCTTTAGGCAGCATGTGTTCTATAATCCCATCTACGTTCCAGTTTGAAACACCTGGAATTGGGGATGTTAATGGTAAAAGAAGTTCCACAGCTTCACGGTTATTTCTCCAAGCAGCAACCTGAACTGGCTTCAGTTCATCCTGACGTAGAAAATCACATGGCAATCAAGTTGTATTCAGTGTTCGTTGGCATGGTATGGATACAAAGACCAAAAGATTGCTGCATCTTTATGGATATTTAAAACAGGTCAACACATAGCATGAACCTGACATTGAAATTTCAGTATGACACTACTTGTTTTATTACGATGAAATACAACTTACATCATCGCAGGTATTCGGGTCAGCTCCAGCTTTAAGCAAACATTTGATAACTTCTATATTTCCACTATCTGCAGCAATATGCAATGGGGTTGCTCCACCAGCCTTGACATTTGGGTTTGCACCAGCCTACATTGCATATTATTCGGTTAGTTTCTGAGGTAGAAGTCATAGTTGATACTCCTTCCATCTGTAAATAGAAGGCGCAACTCCTCCAGCACCAAGACCAGTAAACGATTTAATTTACGTGCATTCTGAGGAAAGCGTTTTGGATGTCGTGCATGCGTGCATGCAGGAATGGCCAGCCCATTCACTCCTCCACGCGCGAGAGAGAGACCATGCACGCTCTGTGAGTAACGGTCTGTGCATGTGGCGAGGGAGGCGATGAGGTTAGCAGTCACAGCAGTAAATGTTGCCAGGACTCGGCCGCCTTGTACACTCAGACTATAGAAAAAGTGGTTACGCCTTCTATTCACGGACAGAGGGAGTACAAGGTATTAGTAACTAAGTACATGGAACAATATTGTGTTGCATGTATCAGTCAACAAAGAAATATGCTTAATTTTATTTATGTGCGTATTCCTATGAATCCCAAGGGCATAGGACACAGCATGAATATAGTAGGGAGAAAATACAGGTGTTCTACTCATCAAATTAGACTACATACCTCGATTAGAACCTCTAAGCATGGGAGGGAACCTGCAGCAACAGCAGATAACAATGCTGTGACACCATCATCGTTTTCAGTATTTGGCTGCAAAAAAAAAAAAAGATTTATAAAAAGAATTAGCCCAATCACAACGTTATAGGAAGCCTAAATAACTTCATGACATACTCAGGAATCATGATTTAATTATTGTGCTTCCAGATTGGCACATCTGGATCCAGAGAAACATATGCATCTCTTGCATGGTGGCTTGAAACGCTCAAACATGTCTAGATGAAAGATGTCACTAACGGCAGATATAAGGCTGGAAAAGGCAAAGGTTCATAACTAACGTTTGCTGCACCTACTGGGTTGGCTACCAGATAATCAATTGATTGTCTTTGACATTTATATTAGTCCCGTTATAAATGTTGGCTTCGTAGACTTCTGTGCTTTTGTCCTGATCTTGTAGGTTTTGAACACTATTTCAATACATTAGTAGCGAACTAGGGTTCTCCTCTATTGTTCTCCGGACCAAACACAAAAAACGAAAGGAAGAGATTATTGCTGCAAGTTTCTTTTTATTGGTTGTTGTTGGTTCAGATCAAGGAGAAAGGGTTGCAATTAGGAAAACAAATAAATGGTCATGGAGATAAGTACTGAGGTGAATTGACAGCATCGGAAAAGTTACAAAGCTTAGCCAGCCTAATGTGTAATGCTAAACTGAATATGTAGTCAGCATGTTTTGAAAGAATAATCGAAAACAGAGATCTGTACCATATAATACATGTAAGAGGTACGGTACCTTAGCATTGTGTTGAAGCAGAAGTTTGACAGCATCTGGATTGCCATGACCAGCAGCCCACACGAGGGGAGTGCCAGCGTCACTTTCTGATTCGACGTCAACTCCCTTGGAGAGGAGAAGCTTCATGAGCTCTGTGTTTCCTGCTCAAGAAAAAGAGACGTTGGTATACATGATTTGGTGATTATTGACTGGTGGAATGGCGGTGGTGTGGAAGGGGCAGAGCACGCAGAGGCCGCGCATGTTATGTTATGTTACCTATGCCTGCAGCATGGTGTAGCGCTGTGGCTCCTAGGTTGGTGGCCACCGAAGGATCAGCTCCATGGTCAAGGAGGTACTTGGCAGTGTCCAGATGGCCCTGGCGTGTCGCATGGATGAGCGGAGTTTCGCCTATGGAGTAGTATACAGATGAGATATGGCATAATGCATGATACATTGACACTACAGTAGGCATACCGCATACAGATGGTGTTTGTATTGTATTGTATTGGCTATTGATTGCAGTGTAGTGCCGTATATACACACAGTAGAGATGAAAAGCAAAGCAAAGGAAAGCGGAAATGTGGTATTAGAATGGTAGTCTGGAAGGTACCAACCATCATCGTCCTTTGGGTCGACTGGGAGGCCGAGCTCGCCGATGAGGAATTCGCAGACGTCGGTACGGCCCTCGCGCGCGGCGAAGTGGAGGGCGGTGCGCTTGTTGGCGTCGCGCACGGCGGCGGCGACGGAGGCGGCGCCCGTGCCGTCCTCGTCGAGCGCCGCGACGAGGCCTGCAAGTAAGCACCGGGGAGAGATGGCAAAGACGGTGGTAGTAAGGAGAGAGTTGAATCGATGAAGGAGGACAATCGAATCTTGAAATCGGATCGGCACGTACTCTTGAGAGACTGGAGGTCGCCGGCGCGCGCAGCCTCCAGGAAAGCCTGCACCTTGCTCCGAGCTGCCAATTCCAAGCAATGTGGGGAGTTAACCAAACTGAGCGAGCGAGAAGCGGGGATTGTTTTGGTGAATCCAGTAGAAGCTAGGTACCTGAGAGGGCGGCGGTGGCGTCGGCCATGAGAGAAGCGGAAGCTTGGGTTTCCGACCGGGATGGGGAGGGGAAAGTGGAGGCGGCGCGGCTCGGCGGCGGTGAGGGAGGCAGATTTCTCAGAGCAGGCGAAGTCAGGCAGAGTCGGGAAGGCGGAAGAAGAGGACTCGGGCGGTCGAGCCGGGCCAGGCCGGGCCGGGTCTCTCTCTTTCTCTTCTAGAGTCTACTCGTCCGCTACTAGGAACGGAAGGCCCATTAGAGTTAGAGCCGTTCCTTAGCACTAAATTAAATCAGGCCCATTTTGTTTTTGTCTATCTATATTATAATATTAGCCCATGAAGCCATCAAAGCAACGGCGTTCAAATGCCACCTTTCACGCTAGAAGAAACAAGCAAAGAGCTTGAGGAGTAGGGTGTGATCTCCACCTCCACGACAACGTCTTCAAGGAGGAAAACAGCATCTATTGATGTAGCCAACACCGAGGTTCAATCCAATAAGTTGGCTAATGAATATGATTATATACACCGAGACGTTTGGCAACCCGTACATAAGATGGTTATTGGAGGTGTGGATAGCAAAAAAATTTGGAATCAGCTGGTTGAGCACAACTTATTGGATTAACATAATCTATCTAGCCTACATGAGTAAAGATAGAAAAGTCTATAGCTAAGCTCGAGCTATACAAGGCCAACGGGGCAGACGCCGCACGCGCACGCGGCACTACTATGCGCGACGCGATGGCGTAGCGCGTGCTGCTCGATAGTGCCGCCATGCCGACCTTGCGCCCAGGGCACGACGACGAAGCCAAGCTGCGTGGCTTGGGCCCATCGCCATGGCCACGCCGCGCCGCCGCCACGCCGCGTCGCCAAAGCCAAAGCCGCGTCTCCGCCTAGACACGCAGCCACCAAGCGAACGCGCCTCGCTACCCCTGGATGAGCGCCGCCGCCGCGTGGACGCACCACCGCCGAGGACGGCGCATGCCGCTGCGGCAGTGCTGCGCGCGACCCACCGACGCGCGGATGCGCTTCACCCTTAGCTGCTGCAGGGACGTGGCCCAACCTCGGACAACCGCCCATTGCATGAAGCTGCGCGTTGCACCGCCGTAGTAGCCAGTGGGTCGATCGCCGCGCGCCGAGGAAAAGAGAGAGCGAGAGAGCAAGAAGATAGGGTTTGGGAGTGAATGGTGCTTGCTTATATACTTGTATTTTCCATCTAACGGTTCAGATTCATCAGGTGTTCATCCGATGGTCCAAATAAATCCGACCACATAGTGCAAGGCCTTCATCCATGCCGTGCCTGGGCCGGCACTACGGTCGGACATGGCGGCCCAGGCACGGCACTACGATCGGGCCGTGCCAGGCATGGACACGGCGGGAGCCGGGCCGGGCCATGCTTCTTCGTGCCGTGCCAGTGCCGGCCCATAGTGCCCGTGCCAGATATGATGGCCAAATATAGCTCGAGCACACTCCATCCTGATGCTAGATCCACCCCCAGGTTTGTGATACATGAGTAGTAGTCGTTAGCTCATTCACGTACGCTAGGGCGGTCGGTCGGCTCCGTATCTTAGACCATTCTAAGGCCTTCGCTTGAAGGCGTCGTTGTAACCGCGCTATCTCATATCTTAATAAATAATACAAAGATGCATAAACCATTTGCTCAAGAAAAAAAAAGATCCATCATACGTCTCGTAAAAGTTGTAATGTAAACTCATTTAAAAAAAAGGTCGTACTTTCTTTGTGAACTTGTCGTGACACATCTTTCAAAAGAAAGGAGCTTTACAAACATGCAATGTGACAAAATGTGTTCGTCGAACGAGCAGCACGTGAGTGGCATCTCGATGATCAACCGAACACAAACACACCTATTGGACGACTACACAAATCTAGGGAACGAACGGTGGCAATGAGCTAATGACACCAGCGCAGCATAGCCGGTCTGCAAAGCTTTTCCTTCGACTGTCACTTCTTCAGACAACGCACCCGTAGCCTATAGACGCCCTGAAACACTTTGTGGTTTATTTCTCTCCTTTCAAATCAGCCGCGAGACAATGAGTGCAAGTGAATCGGAGCCTTTTAATGGCAAATGTGAGGAGAATCGAAAGAAGCTGTTAAACATGTGAAATCAAAGGAGGAAGGTGGAGAGGGAAAAGGCTGCACGGTCGAAAATTGATACTTTCTCTACTCATAAAACCATACCATTTAGGCCCTGTTTGGTTAGCCCTCCTAAAAGCTTTAGAAGCTAAAAGGATAGAAGGTGGAGAGGGAAAAGGCTGCACGGTCGAAAATTGATACTTTCTCTACTCACAAAACCATACCATTTATTAGGGACAAGGTCTTGTAAAACCTTAAAAACTACTCCTCTATCTTAAAATATAAGGCATATATGTATTTCAGGACTCAAACTTTGTAATATTTGATCAATAATAATTAGACTAATCATATGATAAGTTTATGCTGCAAAAGTAGTTGCGTTAGATTTGTATTTGCACTTTTGTTGCCACAAATGATATATTATAAAAGCAATTAGTGTTCAAATCATGTCTTATATATTTTGGGGCGAAGGGAGGACAAACATCAATTACAATTGAACTTTTTTTTTTGAAACCATATAAGTTATATGCTTGGAATTGCATTGAAAAGTACTTACTAAAGTCTTGAACAAGAGGCTAGTACTAAAAAAGACATATATGCATTAAAAACAACTAATCTTTGATTATCAAGCCTGGAAGACCCTGCTAATTTTACTCAAGAAGTTCTCTATACTATACTCTTCTTTTACTAAAGTTCCATACTATAGACAAACCCTGGAAAAAAATTGTAGGCCGCGCTTACTTTTACTTCATGGAAACAAGGATGGCAGCAGCGCACACTACTTCTCTGTCCAGCGGCGAGCAATTACCGTCTTGGCCTTGGCCCAGCGGCGAGCAATTCTTCTCGTCGACGTCGTCTTGTTGGTCCTTGATACACTGTGCTTCTTGATCGGAGTCGGAGGACGTCCTTATGCCGCCCTCCTCCTCCTCCTCTTGTTGGTGTAAGGAGGCCATGATTTCGGCGTCCTCCTTGTTGGTGTAGTGAAGGAGCACGAGGCCGAGGCCGGTGGGCCACGCCGGCGACCGGAATGCCCATATCTCAACGACGTCGCCGACGTGGGTGTCGTCGTCCTGGCGGACGCCGGAGCTGCGGAGGAACTCCCCCCAGGGCCCAGCCTTTGCGGAGGCGGCACGTCTTGGCGAGGTGGACGAGCACCATGGGGTAGCTGACACCGCAGCGGTCCAGCGCGCGCCGGGGCAGCCCTCCCGCGGCGTGCACCCTGCCGTGCTCCTCGTCGGTGAGCACGCGCTGACCCTGCCGCCGGAAGCCGGCGTCGTACTCGGTCTGCGTGATGCCCAGGTAGTTCTGGTTCCGGCTCAGGTAGGATCTGACGAGCTTCTTGCGGAGGACAAACAGCGGCCCGCACACCTTGAGCGGTTGAGCCTCAGCAGCGTGCAGAGCAGGCCGTCCCGGCTGTTGCTGGTGTCGACGACGACGGCACCGGCATCATCATCTTGATTCATCTCAATCTCATCATCCTCCTCCCGCGCCTTCTTCTTCTTCATTTGTTCTCGACTTAATGCGTTCCGACGATCCGATGCCATTTATTTGCTACCTCGGCGCCATGAGCATTGCCTGTTACAAGTAGCTCATCGTCGTGCAGTGCATATATACGATGATTCCCATCCAGGCAGGCAAGACCATGTTGATGATGATGAACAAATTAAAGAGAGGGACGATACGAAGATGGGATGGATCGTAGTAGAGTAGGATTAGTCCTAGCCTCCACTAAAGAGTAGGATCCTAATAGAGTAGGGAAATTATTTCCTACTCCTCGGGAGTCACGTGTATATCTCTATATTTAGGACGTATATGACCCGACGAAGTGTATGTAGATGGAGTATATCCACTACGGAGAGCGGGAGCTTTACCGTGTGTCCTTACCGTGTGCCTAGGGCACATGGCAAAGCCACTAAAAGACTCGGCGAACCCTTTGCCGAGTTTAAGGTACACGGCAAAAATTCTACCGGCAAACTAACTTTGTCGAGTGTTTTTTATCGGACACTCGGCAAGACTTTGCCGAGTGTCAAAAAAACACCCGGCAAACAATCTTTTTAGAAAAATAAAAAAACAACCCGCCGTCTTCTCCTCCCTCTCGCTGCGCCGCCACCACGCAGCGCCACCACCATGCCCGTGCCGCCACCATGCCCCACCACGCAGCACCACCACCACGCCGTGCCGCCGCCACGCCCAGGCCGCTGCAACAGCCACCCCCGCCACCACCACCGCGCCCGTCACCGCGGATCCGGGAGAGGTAGGGCCGGGAGAGGGGCGGCGTCGCCGGATCCGGAAGAGGGAGGAGGGCCGGGAGAGGGAGGCGCCGGATCTAGTGAGGGAGGCGGGGCGAGAGCGAGAGGGAGGGAGGCGGGAGGAGAGGAGGAGAGGGGGAGGGGGTGGATGGGGGGGGGCACGCCCGGGGAGAGGAGGGGCGGCCGGGAGGGGGGGGAGGAGGGGGAGGGGGAGGTGAGGGGGGGGAGGAGGAGGGGCAGCGGGGAATTAAATAGAGGGGGGGAGGGGGGAGGGAGAGGGGCCGAAAAAAAGGGGGGAGAGGGGAGGAGGGAGGGGGGGCGCGCCGGAGAGGGAGGTGAGGGGCACGCCGGCGCCGAAAAGGGAGGAGGGGAGGGACGCGCGTCGGGGAATTAAATAGGATTTTGTCATTTGCCGAGTGTCCTAGATCTAGGCATCCGGCAAAGTTTTTTTTATTCTCCTTCTTTCCTAGAAAAAAGATTTTATTCCTTTGTCGGGTGTCCTAGGTCTGGACACTCGGCAAAGTTTTTTTTTCAATTTTTTCTTCTCCTTCTTTCCCCGAAAAAAGATTTTATTTCTTTGTCGAGTGCAAAAAAGAAAACACTCGGCAAACCCTCCCTTTACCGAGTGCTTTTTTTGACATTCGGCAAACCTTCTCTTTGCCGAGTATTTTTAGCGCAGCACTCGATAAAGAACTTGTTCGTCGAGTGCCCGAGGGAATACACTCGGCAAACATAAAAACACTCGGCAAATTTGACGTTTCCGGTAGTGATCATCATACTATACCATCTAGGGTACTATGTATGAGAAGTATGTATGTATACTTAGGCCTCGTTTAGATGCTGAAAAAATTTCAACCCGATGAATAGTACCACTTTCGTCTTATTTGATAAATATTGTCCAATCGTGGATCAACTAGGCTCAAAAGATTCATCTCGTGATTTCCAACTAAACTGTGTAATTAGTTATTTTTTTTACCTACATTTAATACTCCATGCAAGCGGCTAAAAATTGATGTGATGGAGAGAGAGTGAAAAAACTTGGAATTTTGGTGGCATCTAAACAAGGCCTTAGAGTATATGATTATACTTATTTTATATGTTATTGTCATAGTATTATATAATATATTAAAAATATATGTTCTTTTGAAAAAAAAAATTACATAGTAAAGATCTGAAGTATCTTAATATTAGTATATCAACATACTTAAACTGATAAATGATTATGTACACATACACAATGTGATTTATTGATTATGGAAGTAACTACTCCTGGAAGTGTATGTGTGTGTGTGTGTGTGTATATATATATATATATATATATATATATATATATATATATATATATATATATATATATATATATATATTAGCACTTTTGCAGTCTTGAAGAGCTACGACTACCAGGAGATATAATACGACGTATCGTATCGTATCATTCATGCACACAAGATACAGTCTCCTTATATATATTTTGAGCAAAAAAAAAGTACAGATTTTCGGTCTTCGTTCCGCACTTGCTAGGCCGGGTGGGCCCATCATGAATATATCTAACTAAGCCCAGCCCAAATTTAGTCCAAGCTGATGCAGATAATTTCCCAAATTTCTCAAATTTAGCCCAATCTGGTGTCAATAATTTTGAGGATTCCAATAATTAAACGGTAATGCTACAGACAGGACACCAGCGACTCCCCTCCGGATGCGTGGCGTGGCGTGACGTGCACGCAGCCTACCCAACGAGCTCATCTCTCTCGTGCTTCCCTATTGCTCCTCTCTCTCTCTCTCTCTCTCTCTCTCGCTCGCTCGCTTGCCCACCCCGGCGGTTCCTTCCCCCACCCCGGCACCCTCACCCACAGGGAGCCCCCAATGCTGCAGATCCGGTCGCCCTCTACCCCACCCCGGTGAGATCCATGGAAAACGAGCGAGATCCATGGAGGTGGCACGGCGGTGTTGCAGGGGAGTAGGCGGCTCTCCCCCACCCCGATGCGGCGCCCTCCCCACCCCCGGTGGCGCTGGTGGCGGTGGTGCTCACGCGCAGCCACTCGTTGCCGTCTCCGACCCCGACGACTGGAATCGACCGGCCCAACTTTCCCCTCCCCCTATGTTGCATATGTATGTTTCATGCGTTTCAGATGTATGTTCCAATTGTTTCATATGGATGTTGCAACAGTAGATCAGGGATGTTGAACATGTTGCATATGTTGCAAGTGTTTCAGAGGCATGTTGCATGTGTTTGTTCAAAATGTTTCATCTGCTTCCAGACGTATGTTGCAATCGTTTTGATCTGAATGTTGCATATGTTTTCACACATATGTGCAACAGTATGTTCCAAAATGTTTCGTCTGTTTCTGTCTTCCATTGCAACAAGTGTTTCCATGTTGCAAGATGCTAAGTGTTATATCTGGATGTCGCATATGTTTTCACACATATGTTGCATGTGTATGTTTTAGATGTTTCATATGTTTCAGACGTATATTGCATTCAAGTGTTTCATGTTGCCCGTGTTTCTTGCTGTTCGAAGAGTCAGGGGGTGCCGGGAAATGGGACGCGGCATGCCGGCTGGCGGTCGGGGGCACGACGGGGCAAGGGTGCGCCTGTGGGGGCGGGACGAACAGATGGGGATGGGGGCGTCAGGCGTCAGGGTGGGCGTGTCAGACGTGTGGGCGGTCGTACAAATAAGCATGGTGAGGTGCATGATTTTTTTTATTTGCATATTAACGTTTCATCGGGAATTTGCACCATTCGACGCTAAACGCGGACGTCCAAGCGCTAACAACTCCCATAATTAAATAGTCTCTTCAATCTTCATTCATAATTTGGTTATACAATACAACCGTCTCCAGCCGTGGCTTCGCGGTATCTCTACTAACTTGAGCTTCAGAATCATCCATTGAAAGAGATAACAGGGTACTCACTTGAGCTTCAGAATCATCAAGTTCCATCGGAAGAGATAACAGGGTTTAGAGTAAACTGTTACTACTAACTCATGACCCGATTATATTACAGAGTAGAATACGGCAGTGCAATCCGAGGAGATACGAGTCAGTAAGTCGTACCAAACATTCTTTGGAAATAATTGCAAAGTCACATAAACACAAGCACATAGGTCTAAATCGATTTTGCTGCCAATTCATGCAAATCTTCACCCTAGCCAGATAGTTCTGATATGGAGGCACACTCGTTTCGTTTGTATACAAAAGAGTTTTGACACATGATGGTGGGACCCTTATCATCTACCCACCCACCCGTATTGCGCCCGTGTTTAGTTGGCTGAAGTTTGAAATTTGGGCTATTGTAACACTTTTATTTTTATTTGGTAATTAGTGTTCAATCATGGACTAATTAGGCTCAAAACGTTCGTCTCGCAATTTCCCACTAAACTGTGCAATTAGTTTTTTTTTCCATCTACATTTAATGCTCCATACACGTATCGCAAGATTCGATGTGATAGATATTGTAGCACTTTTTGAGAAATCTTTTGGAACTAAACACGGCGTGCATTGCTAATTGCTATCACCTCCTCCTGTTTATCTATTCTAGCAGGACCTATCCATCTAGCTACAAAATTGCTATGGCGCTGCCATCCTGTTCTAACTTAAAGCAGAAGCCCTGAGCAAAGTGCCAAGCACAGGCATCCAGAGGCCCCCCAATCGGCTCGAGCTTGGGTTTTGTGTCTTCATGCTAGCTGCTTTAGCCGACGATAATGCTGATGGCCCATGCGAATGGGATGACTTCTCCTCAGATGATCCTTCCCTGTTTCTCGCACGACATGTTCGGCTAACACCTTCCTGCTCCTGCAATGCAACAACCTGATTGAATAAAAACACTGAAACGTATTGGATTGGACAAAATAAAAAGCTCCAACCCAACCAAACCTGCGATGTCGTCTCAGGCCGTTTGGCCGCAGGTGAAGCCTGCAGGGATGTCTCTGCTCTAGGCGATTCAGCTACAGGTGAGGAAATTGGCGATTCCAGAGCTAGACGAGGCAAACAGCTAGCCTGTTGGTATGGGGCAACTAAACAAAGTCAACAAGTGAACCAGCCAAAGCTCGGACTAGGAAAAAGACCGGACAAGGTATATGTATGACTCTTTACCCTCCCAACAATTCGCTCCGAAGAGGAATCCATAACTGCAGGAATGGATGACGAAGAGACCTGAAACTCAAAACGCCTCTTCAGAACAGAGAACCAAAGGTGGAATACACAACACTTCAGATCACACCAGCATCGAGCTGCATATGCAATAATAAAGAGTAACACGGGCCATATATGTGACTTGCCTGACGAACATTGGCATTCTGGCTAGGTTCCATCTTTCGGGTGAACTCACATAAGTGATTTATTCCGTCAACAGTTTGATCCTGACAGGATTTGTAACCAGATAACGTTAGGCGCATGTACAATCTGTAAAGGGAACTGTGGTGCTATGACTTCTCCTTACCTGAGAGCTTTCAAGACGCCCCATCTTGGATTCCTGCAAGATGTATATACAGGGAGGCAGGGAGCATGACTCCATCAGTATGTGATACTTATATCCTCAACAGGGTACAAATGTGGTCCAGTACAAGGTGCCTACCAGAGTCCGAACTACAAGATTGACTGATTGCAAATCCTCCTGGAAAGCACTTAGATCTCCATGTATGATTCCAACCTACAGGTCAATAAGCTCTGCATCATCATCCACCTTCCAAATACATCAAAACCAGATAAATAAATAATGCTATGCTGCAATAAGGTTCCACCTCATCCCTTGTGCCTTCAATAATCTGCTGGGTTTCATCTAAACTAATATCCACACGATCAATCCTCCCAGCCAGATGTTTCCTTGTGACCTGAACAGTAGTAGCCAGAGAATTATGGATATGTATTGGTTGGAAATAAAACTGAAATTCTGGTGACACAATGCAGTCCCCGAATGCAGCACAAGTGAAAATGGAAACAATTCAAGAAAAAACTTACAACGACAGAGTCTGAAACTTGATCCAAATGGTTGCCAACAGCAGTGCAAGCATCAGATAAACCACGCTTTGTCACAAACATCATATCAGAGAGTTTCCATCCCTGTACATTAATGCCCAAACTTTAGATACTAGTAGTAGCTACTATATTAGTCAAACATGACGTCTAACTGGTAAGATAGGGCTGTAACAATAATACAATATATGCAGTTATTATGACCAGGATATTATTACTGGCATAAACATTAGCTGAAACTAAATAGTATTGAATGGTAATTTAGCATTGATGATCTGTACACTTCCATACATAAACTAAAAGAATCAAACTTACCTTCCACTTTATATAAGCATAGCCGATAGCCCCAGCAACAACAACTGCTGTTATAGTATATACGCCGGGTCCTACAAGACGAGGGTGTAAGATAACAATTATCCAGGGCTCATTTGGAAACAAAATAACCCCCTCCAATCCATATATGCAATGAAAGGGGCTGGTGGGGAAGTTAGTTCATTTTCCACTCGAATCCATATGTTTTGGGAGGGAATAGGTTTGTCAAAAGAAGCCCTCCAGGATTCTGATAAATATTGCACAAATTACAAAGGAGTGGCAGTTATTGAGCCCTATGTGTTCAAGTCTTGGATGAGGAGATCAATATATACCAATAAAAAACAATTGAAATAGCAAGGAAGCATGAGAAACAAGCAAAAATTATCAGAAAATAAGCATTACAAGCATCCAAAAATTTATGAGAATGTAAGTCCCATTCACATCTGATGCACGTTTGCTCTGGACCCATACACAAAAGCCATTCGCCGTTAACTTGTGTTTGTGAAAGTTCAACTGGTTAATAAACCATAACTAGTAGATGCAGAACCCACAGTGCATCAGTGCATGGATATCTTCAATAGAAGCCTAAGCAAGCACTGACCAGAATTCGCAGCCGGTGTCACTATTGTATTTGGTGTTGTGGCTAGGGTGTGTATCTGCTCCCTGAGATTGTTGATCTGAAATATCAAAGATCCCATTAATCACCATACCCTAGACGTTTAGAATTGTCCATATATATATATATATATATATATATATATATATATATATATATATATCCTGAGAGCCAGACAAAAGTAAACATGTTAACAAACCTGAGATAGCAACTGATTCTGATCGCTGCTGCCAGACTTTGCGTCACCGCCTTCTTTCCCATGTTTCTTCACAAACTGTATAATTAAGACAGGCAAGCACAAGCTAAGCTATAAACCCTGTGCCTATTCCTTTAAGATATACTATGTGCTACTCCCTAATTGTTTCCCTGTTGAGGGTCAATCTGACCAAGAAGGTAACAATACTACCTTGGCGGCTCCAGAGAATACATCCCCCAGTTTAGGAAGTTTGGCGTCACCAGTGAGAACGGATCCAGCGACGCCTGCAAGCAACATTGAACACGGTTACCACTTGCCGGTAACTGTGATTTTGCTATAAAGCAGCAGAACTTGTAAGACGTAAGCACGCGCTGCAAGATCATTGTTATCTAGGAGAAGTAATCGAGAAGCACTGCACAATTCTTCAGCGAAACGAACAGGGCCTTCGCCAATACTAGCAAGTGGACGTACGGCAGCAGACGAACTAACGTACCCGTCACCCTAATTAATCCAACCAGGACCTAACGCAGCAAAATACTCGTAGCAAATTAAGCGAGCAGCCTGTAGCATGAAACTAATAGTAGCTAAGGTAGATTGGGTCTAGGTCATGAGGCACCACAGACTGCTTCAAATTCAATCCAATCTAGCACAATCCCAACACCGCCGCGCCGCGCCGCGAAATTAAAAGAGGAAGCAAGGGAGAGAAGCGGTTTGAGGGTGGGGAGCGGCAGTGACGAACCGGAGCCGAAGACGATGAAGACATTGCCGAACACCATGGGTGGGAACGGAACGCGAACCGCCGCGACGGCGAACGAACGATCTATTTATGGCTCAATGTTCGCCGACTGTTCAAATCTCCTCTATCAAATCAATCAAACTACTTATAATTGTCTATATCTACTTTATTTATATATATACAGTACTTATATATTATAGAACCGGATTTATTTGGAGTACTAGTTACAACTTGTTAATAAAACGCCCAGCCCAGCTCGTTAATAGGTTCTGTTGGGCTGGATGATTTTCCTATTTTTTACAGCTTTTTCTTATGAAAATGAATTATGAAGTTCCTATACATTTTTTGCATTCAAAGAGCCCCGAAAAAAATCTCGTATTTCCGTCTAGATTTTTGCTGCATATGGCATGGATTTACTAGAAGATGATACTATACATAGGATGATATTAGAAAATGTATTTATGTATTGAGACATACTCCACTCTTATAAAGTCCTTCTTTTTCTTATTGTTGACCTTTAAAATTCTTTAAAATGCATTGACATCTCTTGATATTACTAACCTTACACCATTAACATCATTAGTTGGGTAAACCTCTACAATCAACGAGTCAACCTGGCTCTAAAGAAAGGTCTGATTGGTTAGCGGGGCTTGCGCGATAGTGGTTTCGATGTGTGCTGGCTCGCTGGTGGAAGGCTTGGTCCTTTCTAGGAGGATGCACGAGGCACCCATCGTTCTACCTCCACAGAGACGAGATTGAAGTCTGACCTGGCTCGCTCGATGCAAGCTGCGTGGACAAGCACGGGCCCTCTCCTCTAAAAGCTTTAGGGCACTTAAGCTCACTTTAAGCTCTGAAGCTCTTTTTTTTTTGAGCAACAGCTCTAGAGCTCTAATATGAGATGAGCTAAAGTTTAAGACTAAAGTTAGACTATTTATTTAGAGCTTTAGCTCTAATATTTAGATGAGGAAATTCAAATAGACCCTAAAGCAATTGATAGCTAAATCCAGCCCATAACGAAGCAACCAATAACTTGTCAAATCTAGCTTGGTCCAAGTTCTGAAACAAAGTTCCGAACTTTCACGGGGATTACGCTGCCAAAGCTTTGTCCTAGGACATGGGCACGAGACCTGATGGATGACTCTGTATGTCCAGAGGGAGACAGAGGCGTCATCATGTGTGCTATGTTGTCCCTTTGGCAAAGCAGGAATGATCGCTGACATGACAAGACGCCTATTGATCCGGGTGCAGCTATGGACTGGGCACTCGAGGCGTGCTGTCAGCTGTGGGGCGGTAAACAAAGAGACGTCGGGCGAGCATCGATGTCAAACATGCATTGGCGACCACCGGAGGTGGGCTCTCTAAAGATCAATGTTGATGGGGCTTACCTCCGGGAGCCAAACACGGGTGCAATGGGGGCAGTGTTGCGGGACAACAATGGGATTTTTATGGCTGCATCAGCGCACTGGATGGATTCGTTGGGCTCAGCTCTCCTTGCAGAAGTAGAGGCGTTCAGAGATGGCGTGCGGCTCATACCACGAGGTACCATGGAGCACTATCTTAGTAGAGACTGATTCGCAAGAACTGGCCTTGCTGTGGAAGAATAGACGAAGGAACTGATCGGAGACCTCTGCAACCCTGGAGGAAGTTGAGGAGATGGCTTCAAATTTCTCTTCTTTCCAGGTTATCCATACAAGAAGATCGGCGAATTTTGCAGCTCATTTGTGCGCCCAACATGCTACATCTCTGTTAGATAATTTTGTTTGGTCTTTACCTCCTGACTTCTTGCAGCAATGTCTGCAATCCCATTTGTAATAACGCTGTTTAATGAATGATGGGAGAGTTCCCAAAAAAAAAATTATAGCTTGGTCCACGTGAGACAGTTTAACCAAACAAGCCTGCTTGCCTTGCATGCGTACGGGGTGCCCAATCGACGGCAGGCAGGTCCAAGAGCATCACCTCGCCTCCCTCGGTGGCTCACATGGTAACATCGGGCCAGGATGGGCTTGGCTGGGTTGGGGTACTATTCCTTCCTTCATCAGAAGATGCGTGAGTGAAATGGGCTGGTAACTCGTCCCGTCCATACATGGACGTGGGCTGTTTGTCGATACATTCACGCTTGGCCCACTGGTCCCTCTCCTCTCTTTTCCTTTTTCGTTTTCCCCTTTTTGTTTTCAAGAATAGATAGACAATATGGGTTGGGACCATACGGTACATATTATATATTACATCAGCAGATATGAATGGATGTTCTTTTCTGCGAGAGACGACAAGAGGTAGTCCCCCTCCATGGACAAGAATACATACAGCAATGTGAGAGGTTCGTACTAGCCACTAGCACCATGTGTACGAGCACTCTGAATCGAGTCAATGGCCATCGTCTTGTTGGTAAAAGTAAATTGAGAAGCTATTACGTTTCCATTTTGACAGTACCAAAAAGGTATACAAATGAAGACATTATTACTTTCTCCTTTGTTTTATAATCAATTAAAAATATAATCAGTTATACAGAAATGGAGGGGGGCGAAAGCATCATCCTATAATTAATTAATATTGTGTGCGCATGCAGGGTGATTTTGTTGCAAGGCTAGAACATCGTGTGCCCCTGGTAATAACGATATAGACAAGAGTGCACAAAAACAGTGGCACCGTATTTGGTGATGTACGTAGTACATGCGGTAGAAGCGTTCCAGTCCATTGTTCCTTCTCCTTCACCAGCGCAGTAGTAAGCAAGCAGAAGCAAAAGCAAAAGCAGAGGAGGGTAGAAATGGGAAAGCGCACTCTTCCCGCCGCTGGGGGCACGGGGCAGCACTGCACTGCGCCCATCAATATTCCGATCAGAGAATCCCAAGAGCAAGGCAGCAGCAACAGCAACAGCAACAGGCCATAGCTGTCGTCCACTTCTTTTCTTTCCCCCCGATGACCTCTCTCGAGTCTGGAATTCTGCACGCACGCAGATCCTGGGACCTTATTCTGCATGCCATAATAAGCTCTCTAAATTGTTTCAGACTGACCCTATGGCTAACAAAATGAAAAATGATCCTACAAAATAATTTTATGAAATAAACTAAGAGGCTGACTGAAAAAAGTATACTAGATTCTATGCTGGTTTTGAGTTATATTTCTTTCCATTTTGTTATAGACCTAATCTTTATATTTAAATAAAACTTCCATCATCAAAGAGAAACCCCCCTTGCCTAACTTATCGATAATCAAAATAATTTATGATCATGGTTACAAGGGTATTAAGGACTTCTAAATTGTCTTCGGTATGTCCGAAGGACAGATGTGTAGGTAGTACTCCCTCTATCTCATCAAACTATAAGTCATTCTAATATTTTTGAAGAGCGAAAACATCTCAAGCTTGATCAATTTTATATAATAAAATAATAATATCAAATAAATATCATAGATTCTTTATTTATTATATTTTTATAGTATACCTATTTGATATATTTGTAATTTTTTTCATAATTTTGGTCAAATCTGTATATTTTGACTCTCCAAGAAAGTTAAAATAACTTATAATTGAGAATGGAGAGAGTAACATCATGGAGGCAGATAGGGATAACCATATAAAGATTTTTTTTTTTGTGTAAGGTGGGCATTGACTCCCGTGGTTATGGAAATAGATGGAATAAATCCTGTCCTGTTTCTTTGTTTTCGTATTTGTAGAAAAATACGAAAACGAGATTGGAAACTGGGTATGGTTTTTTTTCTGTTTGTTTGTGTTCATAGGATACCGTATTTAAGTAGGATACACCCATATTCATCTCATAACAAGACTTGTAACATGTTGAATAGGCACACTAGGCCATATCATGATCTTACATTAAGTTTATTGTTCCCTAACTTACACTAAGTTTCTAGTTCCGGTCCATAACTGTTCATCCTTGTATTCCCATATAACCCTTTTTTGTGGTCTAGTTTCCATTTCCGATGATCAAATGTGGAAACATAAATATTTCCTACGGGCTATCCTCTCCTCATTCTCTTCTCGCTCAACTGTCCATCCACACGACGAGTGTGACATGGCTGCACCTGTTCTTGGTCGCCTGAGGGGAGCCGTGTGGTGTGCGCCGGCATGCTCGTGAGCTCGGTCGCCTAGTCCTAGCCAGCGGCCATGCTGGGCACGGGAGAGCTCCATGGCTACCTGCAAGGGTATAACTCTAGTAGCTCCTCACCACGGTAATGGTTCGCCTAATGTTGGAGGGAAAGGAAAAAGGGAGGTGTGTTATTTGAACCGAGAAAAAACAGAAAGAGAATTGAAAAGGATCCTCAATGTGTCTTTTCTTTTGGATCGTACTCTCTTCGTTCTGAATCACAAGAGGTTTTGTTTTTTTGAATATATAATTTTTTTTTGTTATATACTTAGATGTGCGCCGTGTTTAAATACATGTTATAATCAAATGTATCGAAAAAGCGAAATTGTGTTTTATTTTTCATTTCAGCATAGTAAGGAGAGAATGCATAGTAAGGAGAGAATAAATAAAATATATACTAGTAGTCCTTGAAAAGACAGGCCGGGGAGAAAGAATCGGAAAAGAAGATTTTTAATTATGTAATAAAATCCGGTAAAAAGGGTGTGACTCAGCCACCGTGAGAGCAAGTAAAAAGGCACCGAATTTCAAACAAGAGGCCCATGCCTCACTCCTTCACACGCCTAGCGGTACGCGCTGAAGCCGCATCACTAGTGGACGGAACGGCGGTGCCTGCCTCTTCTGTGTCCTCTTCCTTCTCTCTCTTCCGCGATTCCCGAGACAAAGCCCCGGGGCAGCGCAGGGCACTGGCTGGCACGCAGCCTCTGCGCCGCTCCACCCCTCAGCGTGCCCCGTCGTCGTCTCTCTCTCTCTCTCTCTCTCTCTCGTGTGCACGCACGCAGACACAGCCAAACCCCAAAGGCACCTTTTCTTCCCCCAAAGCCCCAAGCCAAAACCCCCTTTTCTCTCCCCCACCCGTGAGTCCCGCCGGCGGAGGCCGCCGGATCGCGGCGCGCAATGCCGTTGCCGCCGCCTCCCTCCTTCTTCCTCCTCCTCTCCCTGCTGCTGCTGCTGCTCCCGGCCGCTACCATTTCCACCACCCAAACAAATGCCACCCTCCCGTCTCCTCCTCTGCCTCCGCCTCCGCCGGCGGCGGCACCGCATCCTCCCCGCCGCCACCACCACACCGCGTCTCCTCGCGCCCCGCTGACGCCGCCGCCGCCACCCAGCCTGCCTCCTCCTCCTCCGCCGCACCCTACACCCACTCCGGTCGCCGTGCCGCCGGCGCCACCGCCCACGCCCACGCCCACGCCAGCGCCGCCGGTCACCACTTCGCCGACGCCCAAGTACCCGTCCTCCTCCGCCACCCCCTCCACCGGGGATCCATACCCCTTCACCAACAACCCCTTCTTCCCAACAGTAAACTCGCCGCCGCCTCCTGCCCCAGCCGCCGAAACCCAGCCCTCCGGCGACGGCGGCCTCCAGACGTTCCCCGCCAACATCTCCACCCTCGTCGCCCCGACCCCGCGCGCCTCCGACTCCCACCGCTTCCCCGTGCTCCAGGCGCTGCTCCTCTCCCTGCTCTCGCTCTGCCTCCTCCTCCTCTCCGCGCTCCTCTCCATCCACCTCGTCCGCCGCCTCCGCCACCGCGGCGGCGGCGGCGGCTGCCCGGCGCCGCGGCGTCCTCCGCCTCCGCCGCCCACCGCCGCGCCGCCAGCAACCACGACGACGACGATGACGGGGACGAGGAGGGACGCAGCCTCAAGCCGCCGCCAATGCCCACCTCCTCCACTAACCCCAGCACCGAGTTCCTCTACCTCGGCACCCTCGCCACCCCGCCGCCGTCGGGACCGCAGCACCCCGGCACCAGTTCTAATCTGCGTCCTGGCTCGCCAGAGCTCCGCCCTCTGCCGCCGCTTCCGCGCGTCGGACCGCCGTCAGGCGAGTTCGCATCCCGCAGCTCGGCCTCCGACCCCAGCACCGTGCCTCCCGCCGCCGCTGCCGATGCCTCGTCCTCCTCCCTCTCTCCCTCCTCGCCGTCGGCTTCCTCACCCACGCTCGGCTCCAGCCCCGTCCATTTCCGCCCGCCGTCCATCCCGCAGCCGCGTGGCCGAGCCCCCAATCCCTCGCCGCCTAAACGGAGGCCGTCGCCGCCCAAGGGTGCTGCGGAGCCCGTGGCGGCGCACGCGTGGAACCCCTTCGTGCCGCTGCCGCCGCGACCAGCAGTTGCTTCGTCAGATGATGGTGACTCTGATCAGATGATGGACCTGCGCAAGTCGCGGCCTTTGCATTCGGACAAGCTCAAGCCCGGCTCTTTGCAGTAAGACCAAACCTTCTTGTTCCCTCCTTCTTCTTCTGCTTGCGGATTCGATTTGATGTCTGAGGTTGCCTCTCTCTGCCCTGTGTGCTATAGCATGAAGGACGAGGTCATCCAGCTATACCTCAACAATTCGGCGGCGGTTGCGGCGCCGAGGGAGGTGTGTTTGCTCGGTGCCCTCAGGTGTCATGGCATCGGGATGATTGTGGGGGCATTGGGAGTTTCCAAGGAGCAACTGAGGGATGCACTCTTGGAAGGTACAGATAGACTGATCTTTCCTCTTATCATCAGGCAACCCAGATTGAGTTTTCTCTGAATAATGCTGACAAAGTTGCAATCTTTGTTCGACGGAAGTACTCTAGTGTTTATTACTTGAGGGGGACCTTCGAATTGGTTGTTGTGCCATTGACCATGTTTGTAGCATCACATGGTGCCTTGTTGATTATGAGTTACATGAATGATTGTCTCTGATAAATGTTGGGGCCTTACCAATGGGCCACATGGCATGCCCCTCCTACTGTCATAAGTTTGAAAAACCAGAGTTACACAGCCCGCTTTCATTTTAGGTGCATTGTCTATTTCCTAGAAAGAGATCGCATTTAGGGTACCATTGGAGCGTTTTGTTGTCCATGTGTATAACTTCTTCATGGGGTCACATCACATTTTAGACAAAGTTGTCCTTTCAAGGGTGCACCACTCTTTGTTTTACATGTCATAGCAAATCTGTTTTGGTTCCTGAAGTTGATCAATTACAACTTTCTCCAATCCTTCATGCTATGCCTTTATGTGGTATGTTTTATCGCTACTAACTGTAGCATATTTCTTAGCCTACCCCAACTTGTTTGGGACTTAAAGGCTTTGTTGTTGTTGTTGTTGTAACTGTAGCATATTTCTGGTTGCTGGGTACAGGTAATGCACATGGTTTGGGAGTGGAAGCCTTGCGGATGCTCACTCAGATGGTGCTCAGCAATGAAGAAGAGCTTAAGCTCAAATATTTCAAGGATGATTCCCTGACCAGACTTTGCCCAGTTGATGCTTTTTTGAAGGCAATGCTGGATGTTCCGTTTGCGTTCAAGAGAGTGGATGCCATGCTTTACATTGCCAGTTTCTATTTGGAGATCAATCAGCTGAGAATGTCATATGCTACTCTTGAGGTAATGCCGTGTTCTTTAGGGAATACAACATAATTATACTGTACAGAGATTGCTTCTGCTGAAATGATATCACTTGTTAGTGATTTTACCTTCTTTCGACTATCATGTATTCATTATCTGAATGTTTAATCCATTTTATTTATTCATCTAGGGGGCTTGCCAGGAGATGAGCAGCAGCAGGCTGTTCCACAAAGTCCTTGAGGCAGTTGTGAATTTTGGCAATTTCATGAACACCAATTCGGGGTCTCCATGTTCAAAAGGCTTGGAGCCAAACACTGTTCTGAAGATAGCTGATGTGAAAGGAGCTGATGGGAAGGCTGCTCTCATGCAGTTTCTTGTCCAGGAAATTGTGAAACCTGAAGGATACAATGTGATGGAGGATGGTTCAGGTACATGCAAGATGAACACAAGCACTCTGCAGTATGATGCCGAGTGCAGGAAGCATGGCCTTGAGGTTGTCACCAAACTTGCAGCCGAGCTGAGCACCACGAAGAAAGCCGCGTCCATTGACATAACAAGGCTGAGCCGAAGCGTGTCGGAGCTTGGAATGGGGCTTGGGAAGGTCCATGACGTGGTGAGGCTGAACAGCATCGTTACCTCTGCTGAGAGCACTCGGCGTTTCCACAATAGCATGAGCACGTTCCTGAGGCACGCTGAGGAGGAGATCCTGAAGCTCCAGTCTCAGGAGAGCATCTGCTTGTCGTCAGTGAAGGAGATAGCGGAGTGGTTCATCGGGGAGTTAGGCAACGACGAAGCTCACATGTTCAGAATTTTCGCTGGAGTGAGGGAGTTCCTAGCTATGCTCGACCGGATCTGCAAGGAGGCTGGGGAGGTGAACAGCAACAACTGGGTCGGCGCGACAACGGCGAGCTGGATGGCTGCACCCATGGGGATGACGCCTTAAGCCGCAGGAGCTGTCTTGACAAAAATCTGTAGCTGTCCTTTTTGTAGAATATCATATCGAGCTATTTGGACTAGTATGGTTCCTAGTATTAGCAGTAGATGAGAACAATGTTATGCTATGTTAAGCCTAAGCCTCTCTCTATATAAATATCTGGATAATCTATGCTGGACACCCTGGCTATTGTAAAGTTTACTGTTACTGGTAATGGATGTTGTTGCTTTGCCGTCTTCTCCTGAATGCTGCTGCGGTCGTCCTGCCAATGAGGCAATGAAGCAGCCTTCTATTCCAACTCCATTGGTGACGCCTCTGCTTCTGAATTCTGATAGTTTCTAAAAGTTGCTCATGGATGTCTCGGTCAGAATTGTGTGTGATGAGTGATGACATGATACTTTATTTGAGTTTGGGCAATGCACGAAGAACCTTTTTTTTTTTGGGACGTGTTTTTGCCGCGAGATGGATCTGCAACAGCAAGTTGGTTTGTATCGGTGTCAATTTACAAGTCAGATTCTGAAGTCCTGAAGTCGTCTTCCTCCTTCGCCTCCAAGCAAACCAGCGAGCAGGGCAAAGTAGTCGCCGGCAGAGTCACCCCGCACCCCCTGCCCCCAGTGATTGGGACTGACAGAGGTCTGCAGAGACTAGCGGCGATGGCGCCACCCTGCCCCGAACCCTAACTCCACTCCACCACCGGCCATGGGATCCCAGCCGCCGGCCTCCCGCGTGGCCCTGGAGCCCCTCGCAACGCTCGACCCCGCCGCGCTCGCCGGCCTCCCCGTCTCCTCCCCGCTCACCGTCCGCTCCGCCGCGCTCTCCGGCCACCTGCTCTACCTCGGCACCGGCGGCGGCAAGCTGCTCCTCTTCTCCCTCCAGGATCCCTCCACCCCCGAGTTCCTCCGCCTCCTCCCCATCGGCGCCACGCTTCCTGTCTCCGCCATCGTCCCGCTCCCCTCCGTCGCTCGCCTCCTCGTCCTCGCCGACGGTCTCCTGCTCCTCGCGGACCCGCTCCTCTCCCGCCCCGTCCGCCGCCTCGGCTCCCTGCGCAACGTCGCGGCCGTCGCCGCCCGCCGCGTCGACCCCGCCGACCCATCATCATGCTCCGTCGCCATCTCCGTCGGGAAGAAGCTGCTCCGGGTCGACTTCACGCTGCACGACGCCGACGAGCTGGATGTGCAGACGCGCGAGATCGCCTCTGTCGAGGGGGTCAAGGCGCTCGCTTGGGTCGACGACTCTGTCTTCGTTGCCACCGCCACTGGGTACTCCCTCTACTCGAGCACCACTGGCCAGGTTGTGGACATATTCTCGCTCCCAGAATCCTCCGGTCACCCGAGGGTGAAGCCGCTCTCTGGAGGTGACGAGGTGATGCTCCTGGTCGACAATGTCGGTGTTGTGGTCGACAGATTTGGCCAACCGGTTGGAAGCAGCTTGGTGTTCAGCACCACGCCCGACTGCATAGCCGAGGTGTTCCCCTATGTGATTGTTGCTGGGGACTCCAAGGTCGATGTGTACAGGAGGAGAAACGCTGCACACCTACAGACCATTCCGGTTGCCAGAACTGGTCAAGGCGTTTTGATTGTGGCTAGCGATGATGATGGGATCGGCACGGAGCTAGTTGTGATCACTACGACTTATAAGGTAACGTAGGTACGTCGATTCATCCGTTATTCATTTGAACTTCTGTATCCAAATTCTATTATTGTATTTGTATTAGTGTTATGTGGTGCCACAACTGTTGGAAAGAAAATAACTTTACATTACATTGCATCCTAAATAGATGTAGTCTCCCAAGCACACAGGACTAGATGAGCAGGAAAGACTGCCTATATGAATTTGGCATGGGTTGATAGCTAAAGGGTCTATACAACTGTGGTTGGCCTTTGGTTTTACTTTCACAAGGAAGGACGGTAGGTTACCTTGTAGAATCATAATGTTTGTATATATATACTAGTTATAAGTTGCATAAATAAGGCTAGCTTTTACATTCCCTGTACAATTTTAGTACCATATGTATAGTTATCTAAGATTCTAATGTAAAGGAAAGGCTAATAGCACTATAGTAGTGGAAACTGAGAATGTTTAGTCTGGCTCTAATTTATGCAGATTATACTTATGTTACACTGATATAGGAATCAATTGGCTTATCCAGGTTTTTTGCTACCGTAAAGTATCTGCAGTGGAGCAGATTAAGGCATCTTTACGAAGAAAGAACTACAAGGAAGCTATTTCTTTATTAGAAGAGTTTGAGTCAGATGGTGAAATTTCAAAGGAAATGATCTCCTTTGTCCATGCACAACTTGGATTTTTGCTGTTTTTCGACTTGCGTTTCGAGGATGCTGTAAATCATTTCTTGTTATCGGAGACTATGCAACCATCAGAAGTATTTCCATTCATTATGCGGGATCCTAACCGTTGGTCAGATCTGGTACGCTACATTGCCACTTGGTAGCTGGGATACTGCATATGAGATAAACTGTTTTAGTTCAGTTTCTAAATTAATTGTGTACATCACAAGTTGTGTATTAATTGTGTACATCACAAGTTGTGTTCCAAAAGTACTTTCTTGTCACGTTGTCTTAACCTATTTCTTTTCATGATGAAAATTCACTCTTAATGCTTACATTGAGCTCTTAAAATGATCCAATAAATCTGAATCAACTATTAAAAAATCTCTAGATGAACCAGCTTGACCCTATTTTAGCACAATAGTCATAGATAGGAACTTGTTGAGCCTTACTGAGTTAGAGTATTTATGATTCATCAACTCATTCTTTCAGTTTATGATGAGTCAGTTTTTCCTTCATGGCTCTTTTGGCACTTAACACTGATTATTATTGTACCCTATGTCCGTACCTACTGATTATAACTACGGAGAAACCAAACAATCTTTCATACGTTCAGCTACTTGTTTCTAATGGTAACCATTAACAATTATATCCATTAGGTGCCAAGAAAGCGGTATTGGGGTTTGCATCCACCCCTAAGCCCCTTGAAGAAGTTATTGATGATGGTCTGGTAGCAGTTCAACAGGCATTGTTTCTGAAAAAGGCAGGTGTGGATACAATTGTGGATGAAGATTTCCTTTCAAATCCACCAAGTAGAGCTGATCTTTTGGAACTAGCAATCAGAAATATTATCAGGTATGGTATATGCACGGGTTATATTCATTGTGAATCACTGGGAAGCCACGTCTATCCTCAACTATCTTAACGCTGAATGAATCTAGGTACCTTTGTGCATCGCGGATGAAGAATTTATCTTCTCCAGAGATGGAAGGAGTTGATACTCTTCTGATGTATCTTTATAGAGCACTTCATCTTGTTGATGACATGGAGAAGCTTGCATCATCTCAGAATAGTTGTATTGTGGTATGTACATGCCCTTTAGACATCTGCATCCGATGTGCTTTTGTATGTTGAAGTATTGAATTGACAGAGCACAATGGTCCATCCTAATGTTTTCATCACATTTGAATGAACACTAAGAAAGCTGCTTGATGCATGGTGCAGGATGAACTAGAATCCCTTTTGGATGACTCTGGACATTTACGGACACTTGCTTTCTTGTATGGCAGTAAAGGAATGTGCTCCAAAGCTCTTTCTATATGGCGTATACTGGCAAGGAATTATAGCACAGGTTTGTGGAAGGATCTGTCTGAGAATGGTTCCTGTGGAACTTTGGTTGGCAAAAGGTCTGGCGAGGAAATTGCCGCTATAGAAGCAGCCAAGATCCTCAAAGAATTGTCTGATGAGGACCTTGTTCTGGAACATCTTGGATGGGTATGCATTTAAGGTTAAGAACTTGTTTATCTTATAACAAGTGTTTTATTACTGAATTTTATTTGTAGGTGGCAGACATTGATCAAGATCTAGCGATTGCAGTTTTAACATCTGAGACGAGGGAAAATCAACTCTCACCAGGTAATTGATATGTTCTGGATAGACCAATGTATCAGTGTGCTTTTACTACATAATCATGGCCAGACACATTTTCTAGTTTCTGAGCATGCGTGTCAGAGAATGATGATAGGGACAGAGGGGTAGACTGTTTTAGAATAATTTTGCATGGTTATAGCTTATCATGTGACATTTAGGAATGTTTTTTTAGTAATTGGGGGTTAGGTATCTTAAAAGGCCATTCTTGTAATAAAGTTCACTATCATTTATTTGAATAATGCTATTTTGCAGAAAAGGTTGTCGCTGCTGTTGATGCTGAAAAGGTTGTGATCCATCAAAGGTATAGATGATTGTCCGTGAACTTTTCAATAAGTTCAGATCTCTTAATTCAACAATCCAAATATAATATTTTAGTTTCATATACAACAACAACAACAACAAAGCCTTTAAGTCCCAAACAAGTTGGGGAGGCTAGAGTTGAAACCCAGCAGAAGCAATCAAGGTCCAGGCACGTGAATAGCTGTTTTCTAAGCACTCCTATCTAAGGCTAAGTCTTTGGGTATATTCCATCATTTCAAGTCTCCTTTTATTGCCTCTACCCAAGTCAACTTCGGTCTTCCTCTGCCTCTCTTCACGTTACTATCCTGGCTTAGGATTCCACTACGCACCGGTGCCTCTGGAGGTCTCCGTTGGACATGTCCAAACCATCTCAACCGGTGTTGGACAAGCTTTTCTTCAATTGGTGCTACCCCTAATCTATCACGTATATCATCGTTCCGAACTCGATCCCTTCTTGTATGACCGCAAATCCAACGCAACATACGCATTTCCGCGACACTTATCTGTTGAACATGTCGTCTTTTCGTAGGCCAACATTCTGCACCATACAACATAGAAGGTCTAATCGCCGTCCTATAAAATTGCCTTTTAGCTTCTGTGGTACCCTTTTGTCACATAGGACACCAGATGCTTGGCGCCACTTTATCCACCCTGCTTTGATTCTATGGCTAACATCTTCATCAATATCCCCATCTCTCTGTAGCATTGATCCTAAATATCGAAAGGTATCCTTCCTAGGCACTACTTGACCTTGCAAACTAATATCTTCCTCCTCCTGAGTAGTAGTGCCGAAGTCACATCTCATATACTCAGTTTTAGTTCTACTGAGTCTAAAACCTTTGTACCCCAAAGTTTCCCGCCATAACTCTATTTTCTGATTCACTCATGTCCGACTTTCATCAACTAACACTACATCGTCCGCGAAAAGCATACACCAAGGGATGTCCCCTTATGTCCCTTGTGACCTCATCCATCACTAAGGCAAACAGATAAGGGCTCAAAGCTGACCCTTGATGTAGTCATATCCTAATCGGAAATCATCCGTGTCTCCATCACTTGTTTGAACACTAGTCACAACATTGTTGTACATGTCCTTAATGAGCCCGACGTACTTCGTTGAGACTTTATATTTGTCCAAAGCCCACCACATAACATTCCTTGGTATTTTATCATAAGCCTTCTCTAAGTCAATAAAAACCATGTGTAGGTCCTTCTTCTTCTCCCTATACCGCTCCATAACTTGACTTATTAAGAAAATGGATTCCATGGTTGACCTTCCGGACATGAAACCAAATTGGTTCATAGAGACCCGCGTTATTGATCTCAAGCGATGCTCGATAACTCTCTCCCATAGCTTCATAGTATGGCTCATCAACTTAATTTCTCAGTAATTAGTACAACTTTGAATATCCCCTTTATTTTTGTAGATCGGTACCGATATACTTCTCCTCCACTCGTCAGGCATCTTGTTCGATCGAAAAATATGGTTGAACAGCTTACTATAGCTATGTCCCCAAGTTATCTCCACACCTCGATTGGGATACCATTCGGTCCCATCGCCTTACCTCCTTTCATCCTTTTCAACGCCTCTCTGACCTCAGATTCTTGGATTCTCCGCACAAAGCGCCTATTAGTGTCATCAAAAGAGTCATCCAACTGAAAGGTTGTGTCTGTATTCTCATCATTGAACAATTTGTCAAAATACTCTTGCCACAGATGTCGGATCTCATCCTCCTTCAGCAAGAGATGCTCCCTTTCATCCTTAATGCACTTCGCTTGGTTGAAGTCCCTTTTCTTTCTCTCACGAACCCTAGCCATCCTATAAATGTCCTTCTCTCCTTCCTTCGTACCCAAATGTTGGTAAAGATCCTTGTACGCTCTACCCTTTGCCACACTTACAGCTCACTTTGCAGTCTTCTTTGCCACCTTGTACTTCTCTATGTTGTCCACACTCCTGTCATGGTACAAACGTCTATAGCATTCTTTCTTCTCCTTAATAGCCCTTTGGACTTCCTCGTTTCACCACCAAGTATCTTTAGCCTCGCCTCCACTTCCTTTGGTTACTCCACACACCTCTGAGGCCACCTTCCGAATGTTGGTTGTCATCTTCTCCCACATGTTGTTTATGTCCTCTTCTTCCTTCTAAGAGCCCTCTTTGATAACCATTTTCCTGAATACCTCAGACGTCTTCCCTTTCAGTTTTCACCACTTTGTTCTTTCAATATTAGCTTGTTTATCTCTACGGACACGCACCTGAAAACGAAAGTCTGCCACCAAAAGCTTATGTTGAGAAACAACACACTCTCCTGGTATAACCTTGCAACCCAAGCATGCTCGTTTGTCCTTTCTTCTTGCGAGGACAAAGTCAATCTGGCTAGAGTGTTGTCCGCTACTGAAGGTCACTAGATGAGATTCTCTCTTTATAAAGAAAGTGCTGGCTATCATCAGGTCAAAAGCTACCGCAAAGTCCAGAACTTCCTCCCCCTCCTAATTCCTACTACCATACCCAAAACCTCCATGAACTACCTCGAAACCTACGCTTGTAGTACATATATGCCCATTAAGATCTCCTCCTATAAAAAGCTTCTCACTATTAGGTACAGCTCTAATCAGGCCATCTAAGTCTTTCCAGAACTGTCTCTTAGCACTCTCGTCGAGGCCTACTTGGGGGGTATACGCACTAATTACGTTCAAGACCATATCACCAATGACAAGCTTGACTAAGATAATCCTATCTCCTTGCCTTCTCACTCGCCACCAAACTATTCTTGAGGCTCTTATCAATCAAAACTCCTACTCCATTTCTATTCGCAACTGTCTCTGTGTACCAAAGCTTGAAACCTTTATTGTCCACCTTCTTCGCCTTCTGACCCTTCCATTTAGTCTTTTGAACGCATAATATATTTATACGCCTCCTAGTCGCGGTATCAACTAATTCTCTTAACTTACCTGTAAGCGACCTTACATTCCAACTACCTAAACGGATCCTAGTTGGTTCGACTAGCTTCCTTACCCTTCGCACCCGTCGACTCAGATGTGAAGACCCTTGCTCATTTTTCACTACACCCGGGCACCGATGTAGCGCGCCACTAAGGATGCGACGACCCGATCCTTGCTCACTTGACACCGTGCCCATATCGCGACACGGTGCATCACGGGGGTGACGACCCGGCCCTTGTTCATTTAACACCATACCCGGGTTCCGATATGGCGCGCCGCTAAGAGGGTTACGCCCCAATATTTTAGTTTCATATGAGTGACAAAATATGAGTGAAGAAAATATGAGTGACAAAAGTAGTAGGATTACTCTATGGACATATTTGTATGGTAGCTTGTTAGTATGTGTTTTTGCAAATTAGCTCTAAGTATGCAACATCCTTATAATCAACTTTTAGTGGCCAAGTGTTGGCTAGGGCTGCGAGGGCGATAGAGGGCGGCCGCGGGGCCTTTGCCCACGGCCGAGCAAGAGGGAAGAGTTTCCTTCTTAATTCTTGCTTGATTAGATTGATACATCTCCTCTCCTTATATAGAGAGGTTTACTTGACTCCCAAGCTAGGCTTATTTGACCCCTAAGTAAGCGACCCTTATCTCTAATTAATCCTAACACTAATGGGCTATACAGCCAGCCCAGGCCCAATAGGCCCCTGACGTACTCTAACACCCCATGCTTTTAGTGAGGTTATAGAATCATTATGCAAATAGTGTTATTCCTTTACATGTTCTTTAAAACTGTTTGTCTATATCTTCTCCTGTATCTTGTCTCTTTGGCCACCTTCATTTGTCATTCATCGGCAGAGAATGCTATGTGGTAATGATTATTTTCTTATTATCCTTCTGTTATAAAAAGTCTGAACCAGCCAAATTGTACAGATATCTGCAGTGGTTGATTGAGGATCAGGGCTGCGATGACCCTCACTATCACACATCATATGCTCTTTCACTGGCTAAATCTGCGATTGAAGCAATTGATATGGAGTCTAAATATAGAGGGAAAGACAATAGTGAAATTGATTCTGATGCACAATTTATTTATTTATTAAGAGAGAGCTTGCAATTGTTTCTGCAAGCTTCAGACCTGTATGATCCAGAAGATGTGCTCGATGTGATAGCAGAATCTGAGCTATGGCTGGAAAAGGTGATGTTACGATTTGTCTTCTTCCTGGCACTTCCATGTTTGCCTGGTTAAAAATCTTTCCACTAAACTCTCATGCTTGCCCGATCACGCTATACTGATACTCTAGACTTTCCCTTGTCAGGCAATACTGTATAGGAAAATGGGCCAAGAGAATATTGTACTTCAGATACTAGCATTGTAAGATTCTATGCTCTTGGGTTTGATTTTCTATATGTTGCTTTCCTTACATATTGGTTTGTTGTAGCCTGTAAATTGCTCTATTGAAATGTCTGCTGCTTGTTATGTGATGAAGGAAGCTGGAGGATAGTGAAGCTGCTGAGCAGTATTGTGCTGAGATTGGTCGAGATGATGCCTATATTCAGTATGTCATTTTTTTTCACATCAGTATTTCTAAATTAATTAACTTATTTTTTTTCTTCGTCTTTTTGAACAGAAATAATCCATGCTGTTCATGTTGTCCTTTTTTCAAACTCAGGCTTTTGGGTTTGTATTTGGATCCTCAAAACGGGAAGGAGCCTATGTTTACAGCAGCTGTACGACTTCTTCATAATCATGGTGAATCTTTGGACCCCATACAAGTATTGGAGGTATTACTTCATTGTTGCTTCAATACTCGCATATTCTTTTGAGAGTCTTGTAGCTTGCATGCTAGTTTGCAAGATGTTGGTGTTCTGGCCTTCAGTATTTTAGGATGGCATATCAGTCATGTGAGGACTGGAGAGAACGGAATAAATATTGTGAAGGTAGTTTAGCTCTGGAAATGTGGTGTTCTGTTGAAAAGTGAGTCAATTAAAAAAATTAGGGCATGGATACAATTGTTCCCCCCTTCACAATAGGATTTGGCATATCTGAACAATTTATTGACCTGTTGGACGTTAACGTTCCAGTATTGTTGTAAAAAAAAAACGTTCCAGTATAAACGATCGCAATCCTTTAAACATGGTCTGTCTAGTTTCCTATGAAGCAAACTTGCCATCTAGGAGGCGATTAGAGTAAAGGTAATAAGATGATCTATAATCCCCTAGTACTGGTATTGGAAAAGAACAAAGATGCAAAACTGATGTCCAACCATTTTTCTTGTACTACTGTTGCACACGATCCTAGGAATTGTGAGAAGTCTCAAAAAAGGTTACTGAATAGTCGATACCTAAGTACAAGTTACTCATTGCATCATTAATTCACAATTTCATGTTGTATAGCTGCAGGGCTGCCATGTGCATCTGTCTTTATGTTGTGCCATACACTAGTTTCTGGAAAACGAATCTAAACCATAATCTTGTGCCAGAGATTATCTCCTGATATGCCTCTTCAGCTAGCATCAGATACAATTTTACGGATGCTGAGGGCCCGAGTGCACCATCATCGCCAAGGGCAGGTGAGTATAATTCTTTTCCGTTTTTTTAGGGTGAAGTTTTCTGTATTGAACAGTTGAACAGCGTTGTGGATTATTGCCTAGTTTAACCGAGTTTGTTTCAGGTTGAGATGCGTCTTTCTTACCAGTAGAGTTTCTTTGCTCTTTTGTGCTCCTTTGCATGATTTAGATAGTCCACAATTTATCACGGGCGACAAACCTAGACGTGCATTTAACGAGACTGGAGGAGAGATCGAGGCATGTGCAGCTAACCGACGAGAGTATCTGCGATTCATGTAGAGCTCGCCTCGGCACCAAGCTGTTTGCGATGTACCCTGACGACTCGGTTGTTTGCTACAGGGTATGCCTACTTGAGGTGTTTTGAGTTTGCTGCCGATAGCAGTAGCTTGTTTGCATGGAGGTTTCAGGTTTCTTTGTGTGTAATAATAATAACTTGGTTTTGCAGTGCTATCGATCCCAGCAAGGTGATTCCTCATCAGGGCGTGGCCGTAGCTTGAGGAAAGATGTTATATTCAAACAGAGCTGGCTTGTCAGTAGATAGATAGCGAGGAAGGAATGAAGAGTGGTGATCTTGAGGCTCGCATTCGGCTGTGGCTGCTCGGAAATGGCACTAAGATTTTTGTGTCTGGATGGGCTCACTTGACCAGGGCGTTGTGTATTTTTTGCTGAGGCCAATGAATGAATATATACAAATACAGGCATACCGCATACAGGGGATGTGTAGTCTGTTCTAGTAGCTGTAGTACACTGTCTGTAGAGACAAATAATGCTATATAACACGCTGATACGAGATTTGGTAGCTGGAAATTGCAGGTGACAATTTTGTGCGTCCTCACCAGTAGCCCAGAAATGCAAATGCCCCACTAGATCGCAGTGCTGGAGGCGTGTGAAACACGTTTTCGTGGAGACTGAAACGAATGGGGTGGTCGTGAATGTTGATAGATGGACAAATCCGTTCGTTTGCTACAGACGACTCAGAACAAATCTGTTCGTTTGCTACCAACGAATGGGGTGGCCTTTTGGAAAGCTGGATCTTACGTCACTTGCCTGTATCATTATTACAGGATGTCGTAGCTCTATGTAAACTGCCACAACTCAAAACCTAAATACCTAATAGCCATCATTCTCTTAGCATAATCAATATAAATTACATCATTGCATTAAACCAGTGGCAGAGTCAGGATTTTGCACCAAGGTAATCCTTGTAAATAAATTGAGCCACACAAATGTACAATTAATAATAGGACCACAAGTCCATACTAATAACCAAAGTGCAACTAAGACATAGAAGTGAACATAAATCCATAGTAATAATCGAAGTAATACAAACTGTTGACATAGTGGCATTATGGCACCATCTCTTAATAGTTTAGAAACATTACAAAAGCATTTGTGGCCGCCGCCCTTATGGGCCAATTTGGTAGGGATTTTCATAGCTTCACAAAGCTGTTTTCAGCTTTTACCAAACAGGCCCTAATGAAATAGCTTCACTCTAAAACATATTTTTTAGCTTCCCTCACATCCATAGTTCCCTAGGTGAAGCTAAAATTACTGGCTTATCTCAACTTTCTCTTTGCTATCATCTTTGAGAAGCTATTTTACCAAATATTTTTAAAATAGTTTTTACTTCACCGGTGAAGCTGCTTTATGGAACTGAAACTATAAAAACTACTTCACTAGTGAATCTGAGCTGTACCAAACATATGCCCTATATTAAACTAAGGATTCCAATATAACAGGCTAAGCCCCTTTCCACTTCCTGGGGCCATTTGGCGCCAAACCACCACCTGTCCACCCTATTAGACCGGCCAACCTCACCTTGTTACATCAGCACGATCACATTGTTGTTTTGGCGCCGCTGGCAGCTAAACCATAATGTTACCCCTTGTGGTTAGACATCACGTGCCTTTTCGCGTGTGTGTAGAACCACGACCAAATTCGATCATACTTGTCTCGTGTGCATGGTTAACTTTGTAACCCTTCGCCGCCCAAATTGCATCTAGCCAGTGGGGTCTACCGGTTACGTCATCTAGCCTGCCCCCAACACTAATCTCTCTCTTACCTTAGTTGCCTTGCGCATGAGCTTCTTGTTCGCCACACCACGTGTTGCCACTATCTACCGCCATCCACTTAGTCGAAGTTGTTGCCACATGCATATCACTGTAGAGAGTCACACCAGTCCGTGAAGGTGCAAAGGACACCCGGTCCTGATATTGATCTCCTGACACCGTCATATGCTAACACACGACCTCTTCTCATGCAATCCGCCGTAGCGGTGCGGTCAGCCTCACCTCTGCCCCCTTTTCTCCTCACAATCATGGCCGTCGCAACCAAGGATAACATGGACGACATTGCCATTGTATTGCATTGCCTTAAAACCTCGATGCATGTCAAACCTGATTAGCAAAATTCACTTCGCACATCACCTGGAAGGTTTAGAATCAAACCTTGCCATGAATTGTATCAAAGATCCTAGGGGGTTGGGGGTGTGTTGTTGGTGGTGGTGGTTAGGCTACTCCTTGTATTGGGTCGGTCCAATTGCCATGGGACATGGTAAGGCCGGCTGGTAGTCACCCTAGTACAACCACAATAAGTGGTGCTAGTCCTTCTAAACCCCAAGTCTGGGCTGGCCGTGGTCCTTTGTTGATCTAACTGACCCATGGGTCTAGAACTTTCCTTGTTCTATAACCTTGTACCCTTCCTTAGGCTAGTCTAATCGCCAACCCACCTGATATATATTACACAATCCTGCCTTTAAGTTGATGTAGGTGATGACAGGGCCATTTTCGGTTACTTCTCATTCTACATGATCGATGGAGATACGGACGAGGAGTGGAACCGATTCTATGTAGTTTGCTTATGTACTCTAATGCTATGAGAGAGCGCTGAAATCTTTGCACTAAGAAATCGATGAAATGTGATGTAAACTTGGATATGGTTTTGGGAAACTTGAATGTTAATGCATGTGTTGTGACGATCGCGTATGGTATGCATGTATAAAACATGGTTTATTGTGATGTTCTTGTGCTTCTGAGGTGTTTTTAATTTGTTGGTCTCGGGCAGGTATGGATTGAGACATATCCCATGGAATATTGGGATTGTTTTGCTTAAATCAGGTGGATCAATGGAAGAAAACTCGGTCGATTTATTAATATGGATGATATACAATTTACGCGGTTTCTCGCATAAGCCGTAAGAGACTTGGCAAATGGAGATTGAACTTATTTCTAGGCTTTGCAAGAAGAAATAAAAATGCAAGCACTAGTTCATTTGATGGATGCGATGATCATGCATCGATGAAGTGGATATTATTATTGGAGAAGGAAGGCGCTCCTGACCTGACCTGACGCCTACCTCGGAAAAGCGAAGCCGTACATGAATGGAGAAATTGGCCCGTCAGTGTCTCATGTCCATACATCAACGGAAAGGCCAGATTAAAGCGAGGGGAGCAGCAGGAGATGGAGCAGAGGCATGCCAGAACCCACTCATCGTTAGCTAGCAAATTGCCTATATTATATTAAAATAGTGCTGATCCATGTCGTCATAAGTTAGGTTACACACTGTAATGCTACACTCCTTTATTTCTCGCTAGCCTAGCTAGTAGCTGCTGCTACTCCTTGGTAGTAGCATGAAGGAAATATCTGATAGATGATGATGCAGCATGAGCAATGTAATGTGCATGCACAAGTGACCGTCGCTGCCTGCCCAGCAGGTCGGCCAGCACACACATGAGACATGACACATCTCATCAATTCGATCTCTCGCACGAGCTGAGGTGCAGTGGTGTATGCAAATGCATACATGATCGATCGATGTGCATGTCTTCATCCCTGTCCTCCACTGCCCTTCACTTTTGCAATGTTTAATTCCAGTGGAGCCTTGCTTTGCTAGTGCAGGTGCTCCCAACTCGCACTTTTGCAAGCCTATAAATATGCATGCATGGCACGGCCATGGCATCTCACACTCACAGCCAGCGATCGAGTAGTCTAGCTACAACGACACAAGCAGTATCATCTCATCACTATCACAGTCTCACTGCAGCTAGCTAGATAGCTGATCACAAGACAAGCAGAGCAAGAGGTGATCTATCGTCGACGATGGCCGCCGCTTCCTCACAGCAATTCCCGCACCTGCTACTCGTGGCCGCGCTTCTGGCGTTGTGCCTCGTCGGCGCCGCCAGCTCGTCGTCGTCGTCGATGCAGATGCAGTGCCACGAGGAGGACCAGGAGGCGCTGCTGGCGGTGAACTCGGCGCTGGGCAGCCCGTACCACTTCGCGTCGTGGACGCCCGACACCTTCTGCTGCGACTGGTACGACGTGGACTGCGACAACACCACGGGCCGCGTCGTCGGCCTCACCGTCTTCGGCGACGGCAACCTGACGGGCGCCATCCCGGACGCCATCGCCAACCTCACCAACCTCCGCACGCTGGTCCTGCACCACCTCCCGGGCCTCACCGGGAACATCCCGGACTCGCTCGCGCTGCTGTCCAACCTCTCCCAGCTCACCATCTCCTCCACGGGCGTCTCCGGCCCGGTGCCGTCGTTCCTGTCCCAGCTCACGGAGCTCACCCTGATCGACCTCTCCTTCAACTTTTTCGAGGGCAGCATCCCGGCGTCGCTCGCCGACCTGCCCAGCCTCTCCAGCATCGACCTCAGCCGCAACCGCCTCTCGGGCCCCGTCCCGTCGCTGCTCCTCAGCAAGTGCACCGACCAGGCGTACCTCCGGCTGTCGCACAACAACTTCTCCGGCGCCATCCCCGCCGGGTTCGCCGCCGTCAGCTTCGCGCACCTGGACCTGTCGCGCAACGCCTTCACCGGCGACGCGTCGGGCGTCTTCGGCAAGGGGAAGCCGCTGCAGCACCTGGACCTGTCCCGCAACGGCTTGGCCTTCAGCCTCACGGCCGTGGAGCTGCCGGAGCAGCTGAGCTACATCGACCTGAGCCACAACGCCATCCGCGGCCGCATCCCGGCGCAGGTGGCGGACCTCGCCGGGCTGCAGCTCTTCAACGTCAGCTACAACAAGATGTGCGGCGTGGTGCCGACGGGAGGGAACATGGCCAAGTTCAACGCCTACAGCTACCAGCACAACAAGTGCCTCTGCGGCACGCCGCTGCCTTCCTGCGGCCACCGTTTCTACTGATTTTGTACTGAGGATCGATCCTCGGAGCAAGGTAAGTAGAGTGGTCGGCCACCGTTTCCATCGATCGATCGATGAGAGGAGGAGGAAGCTCTACACGTATGACAAAGAAGCTCATAGCTAGAGTGCTAAACCACGTAAGAAGAAGCTCGCACGTAAGAAGAAGCAAGAGTAGTGAAATATATAGTACGTACGTAGTACAATACTAAACCAAGAGTGCTATATATAATGAAAGTGAAGCAAGGTACCTACAGGTACCAACAAATTAAATAAAACATATATGCATGTAATAATTGTATCCTGGAATCAACTGTTAAGGTTAGTTCATGGATCCCAGGATGCATGGATCGAGAGCAACTACAAAAATCTGTACTATATATATACTAGCTAGTGTAATGGTTGTGTCACACAACTTGTGTGTTTGGGTTTGTGTGTCTGACTAGGTAGAGACATATTAACAAGCTCAATGCATAATTAATGTATATGAGTCTCTCCTTTGAACTACCAACAATATAATATTGTTGCTTCACAATGCTTCCAGCAGTTGGCATAAAATGTTTCCATTTATGAATGCTGATGTCATAGCACAAAAACTGATGATGTTCCTGTGGATCTAAACCATCCATATCCATCAATATGTAAATCAGAAGATGCATTTCAATGTGTTGGCTCCCCTCAACAGAACATTTATATTCTGTTGATGCTCGACCTCACCGCCAGCCATAAGATCGACACTGGAGGGCTGAGATTGAGCCACGTCACCTCAGCCCACACCCCTCTGATGACGTGGCTACATACCTTGTTGACCTCTCAACCCTCCTGTGTTGATCTGACGACACAGTCTATGAGCAACGCCATAGCTAGGGTGAGCATCTGCCACTGGCGGAGCCTCGTGGAGGTGAACCTGGTCTCTTGCCCCCTGGTTGCATGTTTTGTCAATGCATATAGTATTTCTCTCATCCAATTGCTATGTAACGCCTGTGTGTTTGATGGAAATTCGCCAAGTGTCTCAACCTATGTGAGAAACTTGCAGCTGGAGGGCCATCTCTGGGTTCTGGCTGGGGCAAGAAACCTCCAGAACCTGGAACTCGGGCGTCTTGGGTTATAGGTACAGGGCAATTGCATAGTCGGTTCGATTAATTGTAATCTTAGAAAGGATTTTTCTGGTTTGTTTCGTTTTACCCCCTCTTACCTTGGTCCTAGCACTACCTGGAATATCCACTTCTATGACGATCAGCTTTCGTCACTAAAGGAGCCCGCGTAATACAAAGATATGCGGCTCTCCTGCTTGTTCGAGAAAAATTGCTACATATGTAAAAACGACAGTGGTAGCGCCCGACCCGTGCCTGCATTTCGTTTCGCGCGCTTCACGTGGGGCCCGCGTCGCTCGAGCGACAAGAGGGGGAGGGGCGGCGCCTCTAGTTCGAAAGGACCTGGCCGTGACGTTGTATGGATGCCCAGCCGGCGCCGGGAGGACACACTGAGACGAGGCAGCAGAAGGCGAGGAGGAAGATGCAACACCCAATTTACTTTTGAAACATCTAGATGCAACACTTGCAACATACGTGGGGTGACAGATGAAACTCTTGAAGTATACGTCTGAAACACTTGCAAAAACACACCTGAAAAACAATTGAAACCATTGTAAACATACGCAACATCCAGATAAAAACACTGGCAAACATATGTGTGAAACATATACAACATCTAGATAAACACACTTGCAACGTAGGTCTGAAAAAACAGGTGAAACATTGGGAACAGAAGCTTGCAACATACGTGTACAACCATTGCAACATATGTAACATCCCGATCCATTTTTGGAACATCCGTATGAAACAGTTGTAGCATACATATGAAACATTTGAAACACTTGAAACATATGCTTGCAATATGCGCTTTCAAGCACAACATCTACTTGCTGCTTGGACGAAATGGAGACTCGTCGACGTGGAGCTCGATGCCGCAGAGTGGCGAGGGGGGATGCCAGCGGGCAGCTGCGTAGCCCCGGTGAGCCGCTACGCGGCTCCAGCGATAGGGCGGGCGGGTGCGGCCCCCAGGGCAAGGCGCCCCTGTGGTGGAGGCGGCAGCGCTGCCCGCGGCGAGCACATGCGCTGCCTGCGGGTACCTCGGCGAGGAGCCCCTGCGATGGAGGCGACAGTGCTACCCGCGCGAGCGCATGCGGTGCGTACGGCGAGTGACCCTGCGCTGGAGAAGGTGAGCAGGGGCGGGGCGGCGTGGTGGAGTCAGATGCAGAATTTTGATAGCACGGTGGATAAGGCCTTCTGAACGAGCGGACATGAGTGGGTCAACGGGTGAGTCCAGGCGGACGGGGCAGACGGATGCCCTATTCTAATCATTATCGATGTAAAAACTGTTCTGTCAAGCTGTGAAGCTATGCATGAAAAAAGAGAAGCCTAGACTGTAGGGAACAAATAAAAAAATGATAGAAGAGCCTAATAGTACATCATATTGCTGCTACCTCCTATAATTGTCATTGAATTTTTCTTACACCCTCCTTGTTTTCTGTCCACGCTCCGACACTGCATCTACTCTTAGAAGTCTAACTCCATTCCTTTTTCTTTGCATTCCAAAGATATACCCAAACTGGACGAATTATTGCATCGTCAAAATTTAGAGTTGCTAGCTCCGCGTCAACAACCTTTTTTGTGCCATGGAATAAATGGGATCAACATTTTGGTCATGGCTTTGTAAAATGCTTTGGTTTTGACTTTTGAGGGAAAAAACAATGTATATGTTTTTGCATTGGACGCAACAAATTCTGTAGTTTCAAAAAAACATGATATCGCTAAAGTTGTTATTAGTTTGATACACATGGCTAGTTATTAGTTAGGGCTAAAAATTAGTCCAGTTTAGTTATGGTTGGTTAGCTATTGGCTTGAGTGTGAGCTCGTGTATGTGTGAGCGTCTGCGTCTGTAACTGGGTCTCGAAAAAAACCCTAGTTAAAGTCTTGTCTAAAAAATTAACCCGTCTACTAGCTTTCATGTTTAAATATGCAATAGAACTAATTTGAGCTAAAAATTAGCTACCTAACAACTGGCCATGGTATCCAACATGACTCTACACTATGTTGCCATCTGCTCCTGCCGTGATACTTGTTGGCACTGTCTACACGTATTCTAATCTATCTTCTCTGACTCCAGTCTTTGGCAGTACAAGAAAAGTTACAGCAGCCAGGGGATACGTATCTATGTGAGGAGATCGAGGACCAGGGCAAGGGGGTCGCCTCCACTACCCTCCGCCACTGATCACACGTTATTTTCGTGAGAGCAAAAACATATTTCATAACGTGTGTTTCATCCTCTCATAATTTTTTTGTTTTCTGGTACTGACATGAGAGTAAGGACTATGAAATTTACAAAAACTTTACGCTTTAACTCAGCAAGAGGTGCTATGGCATGTGACTAACACACGATCATCTTATCTTGCAATAAAGCATAAAAATTCTATCGTACTTGAAAAGCAAATTTTATCTCGACTTGCCTATTCTTGTGAACAGTCATCACGCCAAATTCGAGAGGTGGTGGACTGAAGTGGTAGAGCACCCGCAGCGTGGACAGTGAAATGTCACATCAAAATTTAAATCAATTTCAGGCTTTAGATTGCAGTACGTGTTCTACCTGAATGACAAAAAGTGTTCTGGCATTGTTTTGATTGGCTGAGTCACCGTATTTCAACTATTCTTGCGACTTGATTCAACAGAGAAACAGTATTTTAATTAGGGATGCAAGACAATTGTACATAAACCCGTAAACAAGCTTAACTTTTATGAATTATTACTTGTAAATCCGCAAAAAATAAGTTTATTTATAGGTTCGCGGACAATCCGTCTTATATCCCTAATTTTAGTTTGTGGCATCAAGGCTAGTAGAAGCATCCAGGTCAACATATTTGTTGCAAGCATCGAACCTTGCAGCGTTCAGGCATAGATGAATTTTCTTCTCTCACTTTATGGAGCATCACTTTTCCTAACATTGTGGATATAGATAGATGATCATAAGGCTCGTGGCCTGTCAACATGGGTTTGGCATGATGGCCATCATGCTATTCTAGGGCCATGCCTGGCACAGCGTCTGCCTCCTCTCACGCACGCAGCCTCTGCCTTCTTTTCCTCTCTTCTTGCAACCACAGCTGAGGCGATGGTGAGGTGCGCGGCAGCGGAGCAGCATGGCCCCGCGGTGACCAGGGACAGGGAGGCAGGGATGGCCGGCACGCGACAGCGGCGGAGCAACTTAAGCACGATGGGTTTATTGGGCCTCTAGATCAGCCCGACCAAACCAAGCCAGAGACATGCCGTGCCTGAGTCCAGACTGGAGCCCAAGAACAAATACGGCACCACATAATTTGCTAATAGGGCCCAATCTTTATCGGACCATGTCTGAACTGGGCTGCGTTTGTTTCCCTCGGGCAAAAGTTTAGTCCTATCACATCGAATCTTGGGATACCAATTAGGAGTATTAAACATAGGCTAATTATAAAATTAATTACACATGTTGAGGCTAATTTACGAGACGAATCTATGAAGTCTAATTAGTTCATGATTTGACAATGTGGTTGTCGGTACAGAAAACGACCAACTAGTGAATATTTATAGTTTTGCTGTACGTTGTGATCGGTGGTGGCCTAACACTCAATGACACATGATTTAGACTGGTTCAGGCAACGTACCCTACGTCCAGTGTGGGTCTGTTGATGACTCTATTCCTGAGCCCAGGTGCTCGAAGTATGTAGTGGGGTTACAAACGAGAAGGAGAAAAGAGGGGTGTATGAGAGGCCCGGTCGGGTCCGATCGGAAGGGCCGAGGGCGACCGGAACTCCGCTATGTGCTAGGTGTTCAAGCGTGCGCTTGAGGGATTTCTGAGCTATTGATCTAGTGAGCCTGAGCTTGAAGAAGTGGACCTGTGGAAAATCGATCTCCTTTGTTGGAGAGAGCGCATCCCCTTTTATAGATAAAGGGGATGGCTTTACAGTGAGAGAGAGA